CTCCCGCGAGAGGGAAAAGGTGTGAAATCCCCCTCTGCTCTGACCCCCGCCTCCGCGCTGCTCCCCGCACGTAAATTTGGACATGCGTAGTAGCGGAGAACAAACGAAAACAAAAATGGCGCCCCGCGCACTAACTAGCTTCGTGGGCTTCCAGCGCGGCACAGAGGATAATTCTACTCCTTCGTTCGTCCAAACGAGACCACGCGAAGCTCTAGGTTCAGTTTCCATTTTCACAGCTGCTGTTAAAATGCAGAATGATGTTGCTACTTTCTGAGGGTCTGGCACAGGAAGTGAATATACTGCCGGGAGGTGGGCTGGGCACGGGGCTGGGGGTCGTGTGAGTGTTGTAAAGTTTCTCTGCCCACTACTGGCCGGGCGCTAGAACTACATCGTTTTTCAACCTCATGTGAACGCTGAGAAATTTGCATTAGGGGCCAGGTCGTTTCTGTTAATAGCCTGGAAACGTCTGCGCAGCGTCTCAGGCCCTGTTTATACTGAGACGCTGCGCAGACGTTTCCAGGCTATTAACAGAAACGACCTGGCTCCTAATGCAAATTTCTCAGCGTTCACATGAGGTTGAAAAACGATGTAGTTCTAGCGCCCGGCCAGTAGTGGGCAGAGAAACTTTACAACACAACACACGACCCCGAGCCCCGTGCCCAGCCCCCCTCTCGGCAGTATACTCACTTCCTGTGCCAGACCCTCAGAGAGTACCAACATCATTCTGCATTTTAACAGCAGCTGTGAAAATGGGAACTGAACCTAGAGCTTTGCGTGGTCTCGTTTGGACGAACGAAGGAGTAGAGTTATCCTCTGTGCCGCGCTGGAAGCCCACGAAGCTAGTTTGTTTGGGCGGCGCCATTGTTGTTGATGTTTGTTCTCCGCTACTGCGCATGTCCAAATTTACGTGCGGGGAGCAGCGCGGAGGCGGGGGTCAGAGCAGAGGGGGATTTCACACCTTTTCCCCTCTCGCGGGTGTGAAAGAGAGCCCCCGCTGTGCAGCGTTTCTGAGTTGTCCCACTCTGCAGGCTGGATCTGAACACTTACGTTTTCACCCCCCTGGAACACTGTCTTCGTATGAACGGTTGGTAGCAACCGACATCCAACTATACCGTTTTACTGCCACATTGTCTCCGTGTAAACTCAGCCTCAGTATAAACAGGGCCTGAATGATCCAATGTTGTCCTAAGGGTTCTGTTTAAAGCGCAGAGAGAACCATGAAGACAAAGGAACACACCAGGCAGGTCCGAGGTACTGTTGTGGAGAAGTTTAAAGCCGGATTTGGATACAAAACGATTTCCCAAGCTTTAAACATCTCAAGGAGCACTGTGCAAGCAATTATATTGAAATGGAAGGAGTATCAGACCACTGCAAATCTACCAAGACCCGGCCGTCCCTCCAAACTTTCATCTCAAACAAGGAGAAGACTGATCAGAGATGCAGCCAAGAGGCCCATGATCACTCTGGATGAACTGCAGATAACTACAGCTGAGGTGGGAGAGTCTGTCCATAGGACAACAATCAGTCGTGCACTGCACAAATCTGGCCTTTATGGAAGAGTGGCAAGAAGAAAGCCATTTCTCAAAGATATCCATAAAAAGTCTTGTTTAAAGTTTGCCACAAGCCACCTGGAGGGGCGACAGTAGCTCAGTTGGTAGAGCATTGGCCTTAAGCCCAGAAGGTCGTGGGTTCAATTCCCACCTCTGCACCTTCTCCACCGACTCCCACTGATGACTGCTGTCGTTGTGTCCTTGGGCAAGACACTTAACCCCACTTTGCCCAAAGCCCCCACTGAAAGATCAAGGCTATGCTCACACTCAGAGAGCAGCCGTCCTCCTGTGGACTCACCACCTGCAGAGGATCAGTGAGGGGCTGGTGCTATGAGACTTGGGTGGCATCTCTGACTGCCACCCCCCTGACCCAGAAATGGATTAAAGGGTAGAAAATGGATGGATGGATGGATGGCACCTGGGAGACACACCAAACATGTGGAAGAAGGTGCTCTGGTCAGATGAAACCAAAATAGAACTTTTTGGCCACAATGCAAAACGATATGTTTGGCGTAAAAGCAACACAGCTCATCACCCTGAACACACCATCCCCACTGTCAAACATGGTGGTGGCAGCATCATGGTTTGGGCCTGCTTTTCTTCAGCAGGGACAGGGAAGATGGCTAAAATTGATGGGAAGATGGATGGAGCCAAATACAGGACCATTCTGGAAGAAAACCTGTTGGAGTCTGCAAAAGACCTGAGACTGGGACGGAGATTTATCTTCCAACAGGACAATGATCCAAAACATAAAGCCAAATCTACAATGGAATGGTTCACAAATAGACGTATCCAGGTGTTAGAATGGCCAAGTCAAAGTCCAGACCTGAATCCAATCGAGAATCTGTGGAAAGAGCTGAAGACTGCTGTTCACAAACGCTCTCCATCCAACCTCACTGAGCTCGAGCTGTTTTGAAAGGAAGAATGGGGAAGAATTCCAGTCTCTCGATGTGCAAAACTGATAGAGACATACCCCAAGCGACTTGCAGCTGTAATTGCAGCAAAAGGTGGCGCTACAAAGTATTAGCGCAAGGGGGCCGAATAATATTGCACGCCCCACTTTTCAGTTTTTTATTTGTTAAAAAAAGTTTAAATTATCCAATAAATTTTGTTCCACTTCACGATTGTGTCCCACTTGTTGTTGATTCTTGACAAAAAATTAAATTTTTATATCTTTATGTTTGAAGCTTGAAATGTGGCGAAATGTTGAAAGGGTCAAGGGAGCCGAATACTTTCGCAAGGCACTGTATCTAAGAGTAGTCTAATGCTGTAAATTACTGGTTTAAGGTTTAAGTGCATCATATCCTCAATACTATTTGTAAGTTTAATTCCTAGGTATACCATACTGTTAGGAACCCATTTAAATGGCCATTGGGTATTGGCCATGTTATTGGATGTTTTAGAGATTGGCATAGCCTCAGACTTAGACCAATTAATCTTGTATCCTGAAATTCCTGAAAAGTCGTTAATTAATGATATGACAAGTGGGATGGCCTCATTAGGGTTTTGTAAAACCAAGAGGAGGTCATCAGCGTAGAGGAATATTTTGTGTTCCTCTCGGCCAGCTTGTACCCCTAATATCTTAGGATTGTTCCTCATGGCAATGGCCAGTGGTTCCAGGGCGATAGCAAAGATAAGGGGAGAGAGCGGGCAGCCCTGCTTTGTACCGCGAAAGAGGTGGAATAGAGGAGAGATTATTCTGTTGCTCATAACTGATGCTGTGACATTTTTGTATAGAATTTTAATCCAAGCAAGGAATGACGGCCCAAATCCAAATTTTTTTGTAGTGTATAAAATAAGTTGCCCCATTCAACCCGATCAAAGGCCTTCTCCGCATCTAGGGAGAAGGCCATGGCAGGGTTATGGTTGCCCTTGGAGCACAATATGCAAGAGCCTTCTTAAGTTGTCTGCTGAAGATCGTCCCTTGACAAACCCCACTTGATCTGAGTGTATAATTGTGAGAAGTATATTCTCGAGTCTGTTGGATAGAATTTTGCTAAGTATCTTGCCATCTACATTGCCGAGTGAAATAGGTCTATAGTTGCCACATTGCTCGAGTGCATTACAAAATACAGTCAATAATCTTGGAGAGAGGACATCGCGAAACGTTTTATAAAAATCTGGTGTATACCCGTCTTCCCCTGGAGAACGGCCGGCCCTCAGTCCTCGTATTGCTTTCTGAATCTCTTCAATTGTTACGTCCATTTCCACTACATTTCTTTGCATTTCAGAGAGTTGTTGTATATCTAGGGAGTCAAAAAAATTATCATATTGACATCTTTCCACTTCTCCTTGTGATGTATAAAGTGACTTATAAAATCTATAAAAAACATTGTTGATCTCCCTTTTATCAGTGACCGATATGTCCTCAGTATTAAGTATAGATGGAATAGTATTCTGTGCTGCCTGCTGTTTAACTAGCGAGCAGTTTGCCCGCTCTCTCCCCTTTTTTTGCTTTGACCGGAAAAGGTCTAGCTCTACTTTTTTCTGGATTATACAATTGATTTTAAACTTGAGTGAGATGATTTTTTTCCATATATTAGCATCTTCTTGTTTTGTGTATTGTAGAGTCAATTCTTTTAGTTGTTTCTCAAAATTTAGTAATTGCTCCACTTTGAAGGCCTCCCAGGAAATGTGAGGGTCAGAGTAGTCTTCGTTATATGTCCAATATTCGTCCATCGCAGATTTTATGAACTGGCATGACGTATTCTCCTGCAGTAATGAGTTATTAAAACACCAGCGAAAACTCTTAATTTCACACTCATCTGCTCTAAATGATATATCCACTGGTGCGTGATCAGATAGTGATATGTTTCCAATTGTAGCAAGTTAAAATTTGATTCACCATGTTTTTAGTTATCAATATATAGTCTATTCTAGAGAATGATTGGTGACGATGAGAGAAGAATGTGAAGTCTTTTTCTGTTGGGTTAAGTAAGCGCCATATGTCAATCAAGTGAAGTTCTTCTGTCATTATATCTATCGCACTGCAAGAGGATATGTTTTTCATGCCACTGGTTTTATCAAGCATAGGATCTCTGACCCGGTTGAAATCTCCTAGTATAATGTTTTCATTACCAATGTCTTTCAATGTTTTACATATATTATTAAAGAAGTTTGGCGAGAAGACATTAGGGGCATAAATGTTCATGATGGTTATTTTTTGTTTATTTAATAATGTGTAAATGGCAACCCATCTACCCTCCGTGTCTGTATAGCTCCCTTACACTTGAAACTCAGAATTTTTGTCCAGTAGGATTGCAACCCCCTTACTTTTTGTATTATAGACACTTGAAAATACCTGACCTTCCCAGCTTTGTTTCAACTTTTCGGATTCTTTTTTATCCAAATGCGTTTCTTGTAATAATGCTATATCACATTTAATTTGTTTGAGATAGTTCAGAATGTACAAAGTTATAATTTGAGTAAATGTGTTGCGGTTACTGCTGGTCAGCGGTCCATCCCACTGTCTTCAGACTGGTGTCCAGAGAAACACAACCTTCTCAGGCGCTCACAGAACTCCAGCTCCTCCTGTCCAAACACACAGCTCAGTTTTAGTTGTTTGTGAGAACCGTCCATTTTTATTTTGGGCGACAGTGGCTCAGTGGTAGAGCATTGGCCTTTGAGCCGGAAGGTTTCCCACCACAAGACCTTCTCCACAGACTCCTACTGATGTCTGTCTTTGTTACTGTTATTCTCATAAACCCTATATTAGTAGCTGGAGTCCATTTCCTTATATGGGCATTTGTTAGGACAAACGTAACAGGGTCAGATGTGTTGCTAACATAGTTGCTAATGCAAGCAGGAGTTTTCCCAGTGAATGAAGGCATGTGATTGGTCAATCCTAGTATGGCTCATATCTGGATATACAAAGTCAAGTCAGGATCATAGAGAGCACTAAACCACGGATTCCTTAAGCCCAAAATAGTGAATGTAACGCAAATTAATGCTGAGCTAGGAGTTTACCTTTTGATGTAAGTCAATTGGAGCCAGAGCAGCTTTGAACAAATCTTCGTTCATGAGCACTTACCAATTGGGCTTCATTGAGCTTTGGGGTTCGCACCGTCTATATGCAGTCTATGTTTCTCACCTTTTCCCTTGTCTATGCAGGAGGGGCTAACACAAGGACAGTTCAACAACATTTATCATAACTCCCCCTTATGGGCCGATACCAATGTGTTTTCTATCACTGCATTTCTTGAACTGTTTGATTCTCTGATCTGTGTTGGCGAATTCTACAGTTGTGTAAAGTCCTCTGAGATAACTACTGTGGTTTAGGGCTATACAGGAATAAGTTTAATTGAATTGAATTATGTCTATATATTATTCTATTAAATCCAAACAACTAAAGCAGATATATAACCAGTTAAGCTATATGACATTTGAACCCAATGTGTATCACAATCAGATGTTTTTTTTTTTTTAAGTAAACAGACCTCGAGCTGGTAGGAAAGGGGAAACTGAACGTAAAAAAAAAAAAATCTAAAACAAGATTGAGATTGTATACAGATTCAGTTGTAAAAATACTGTGTCCTGTAGAATAGAATGCTGCTGTACCTGGCTCTCCTCTTTCCCCTGCAGCTCTGTGGACCTCTGCTTTAGTAGCTCCTTCAGGCCTAGAGCGGGGTCCCTGCAGTCTTTGAGACCCAGAGGACAATTGTCTATTAGACTGAAAACACACAGAAAATCAGAATGCGTTTTAGATTAACCTTGAAAAATTAGAGATGAAGACAAACATTAGTCAAATACTCACCAGCAAAGAGCGCCAACTACATGTTCGTGAAAAGTCGAGTGTGGCGTTCGCAAAACTGACACAAGTTGCTGGACCATTCCCATGGAGACAACAGACGCTATACAGAAATGCAATTGTAAGAGAATTAAGACGCTATAAAGATGCTACTAATCAAAGTATACGTTTGAAATGAATAATACGACTGTACCTCTCTGCTCTGGGTGTGACGTGAGCAGGTTGAGCAGGAGAAATGCCGACTTGATACAGAGTTTTTCATTTCCAGACTGCATGCCTCTCATGAGCACAGAGAAGCCGTCCCGGGACAGAAACTCCTCGAGCCCTGCGTCCTGTTCTCGCACCAAACCTGCACAGGAGACATGGGAAATGCTAGAATTTAAAATCAACGGAAAGGAGCAATTCAGTTCTTGCAATATTGGAGGGACAAGGTTGATCGTTTGGAAAGCACTGTGCCAGAACCATATATTTGTCACATATATGTTCATAAATATGGTACTTAAAGGGTAAATAGGAGGATTTTCTACTTCCGGGTGGATCATCAAGACTATTGGCCCTCCCAGTTGTCAATTATTCTGTTGATACATGCTTGTCAAAGAAGAACAAAGAAGTCAAAGAGGTTTGTTCAAAAAGTGGGAAAATCCTTTAATTGGCATACCTTTAATTTTATGCCATAATTTGCTTTTTTTCTCTTTCAGTTTTCCCTTAGTTTAGTTTAATTGTATTGGGGAAGCATGTTAATTTCTGCGACCTGAATGTTACCCACTCACAGGAGACAGCGTAGAGGGCTTTGACGCGGGCGGTGGGGTGCGGGTCGCAGTCTACCATCTCCAACAGTTTGGGCAGGGTCCCGATGTCCAGGAGGTGGATCTGCACCTGGGGCATGTTCTGTGCACATGAGGCAATCAGCTCCGCGGCTCTCCACCGGAGGGCGCCCTGCTCGTGACAAAGGTACCGAGACACGCACAACTGCAGGCCTCCCAGAGTCATCAGGTCTGTGTGTGGAGAGTCAGGGACAAAACAAGAATTAATCTGATATTTATACTGACTGCTTGTGTTTCAGGCCTTAGACATTCTATGACACATTTAAGAACCAGTTTGCCTAATGTAATGAGGTCACACATGTTTACATTATTATAATAAATGTAGTAATGCTGTGGTTGTATAGTTAGTGTTGCCACAATAATACTGTTCAAACTCAATTTTCATACTAGGAAAAATACTAAATATACCAATTTTGATACCACAACAATTACTGGTTACAAGGTTTTATAAAAAAAAGACATTTCAAAATATATAAAAATTAAAATTGTATTAGTACTTTTGCAAGCTAATTGGGAGCAGCCCCCCCATGACCCAGTAACGGATCAAGGGGAAGAAAATGGATGGATGGTACTTTTGCAAGCTAAATATGAATCACCTACGAAATACACCTAAAAATGAACAAATTAAATAACAATATGGTGAATCTGTAATCCATTCTGTCAGGTTCTTCACTAAAGAGTAGGTAAATAAGATAAGATAGACTTTATTGATCTCACACAGGAGATTTCTTCTTTTTTTTCTTTTTTGAAGATAATAAATCCATGTGTGAGTGTGAGTAAACTAAAGCTCTGTTCCCACCCTGGTCCAACAGGATCTAGTGTGTACCTCTTGCATTGTCAAGATTATCACAGAGCTCTGTCAGTGTTTCAAAGGCAGTCTCCCGGACATCCTCCTCATCCTCATCCTCCCTCTCCTGACCGCTCGGTTCTTCCCCGCGTAGAACTTCCAGGCATCTTTTCATGTGCTCCACCTCGTCCATTTGGCCTTTGCAGATGTCCGCCAGCGCTTCTCCCAGCCACACCTTCCTCTGAAAAATATGGACGGTTCTGAGATCACAACATTAACACACAAATCTTTCCTCTGTCTTTTGACTCAAATCCGTGTTGCGACAAAAATACATATAGGTCTTGTTTTGGGCTGATGAATGCCCCAGAATTCTGATCTGAAATCATCCCTGCTGCAATTCACCTTCAAATGACCCATGCACCGTTTAGGGGACATAGTGTCAAGCAGAAAAAGAAGCAGAAAACAAAAGTAGTCACACTGAACGTCCACCAGAAATCACAACTATCTCACAGCTCAAACATTGAAGCTATATAGTTATTTCCACAGTATTAGTCATATACAGTGTTAGTCATAAACACTGCCTTTATTTGTCATTTCTACTATGTTAATTAGTTCTATACGCATGCAGGGATTGAGTTAAATATATTAGTCATTAATCCAAATACTTTCTTTTTGGAGGGGATTAGATTAATACAAGCCTTGTATTTCTTAAAAAGATAAGCTAAACAAGATGTTGTTTTGTAATAATTGACTAATCTAAAATCTGAGAAAATTGGGTGCTTGGGTGTAATACAGCATAGTGTTAGCTGTACTAACTAATAACTATCTATGGTTTTTTCAGCGTGGTACCTCCTCTGACATGGGCTCCACGCTGGTGGGCTCCACGCTGGTGGGCTCCACGCTGGTGGGCTCCACGCTGGTGGGCTCCTGTTCCTCTGAGGTAGACCCAGCTTCCACAGCCAGCTGCAGCACTCCCTGAAGGTTCTGTGGATACCTCCTGCCCCGTCTTTCTTCAGCCATGTCTTCAGGAAAGTTAAAAACAAAAGATTAAGAACAAAAAATTACAGTTCTCAACTTCCCATCAAAGCAACGGAACAAATCGAAAATAGCTACAGTGTCATCGTGTCAACAAATACCTATTGTCGCTAACACTTTAATCAATCAAAACCGTAACTTACCTTATGTGGGTGTGTACAAGTGTAGATTTAGAACGGACGGGTCTCCTTTGGCTTTATAACTGGATAGCCTGTCTGTTGAATGCACTGGAACAGTCTAGAAGAGGCGCATGAGTAGCTGCTGAGGAGGCTGCCATGTTTTACCGTAAACCCGACACAAACAAACACTCACTTAAAAAAATAGATAATTAAAATTTGTTTTTTTGTATGAGCACATTTGCTAAACTTAAGTGAAAAAACGATAAATTAGAAAATATTGTTGATAATGATAACAGAAAAGAAAAAGGGAAAACATGTTTATATTTTAAAATTATAGGATTAAGAAAACAAACATGACAGATCAATTTCCTCATAATCATGGGTAAATTTGTTTCAAGAAAATACATTGAGTTGTTATAATTTAACTTGTATATCTCAAATATCAAGCCCCAGCTATAACTGCATTTACGGTAAAAGAAACCTGAACTCCAAAGAGCATCAGTGAATACAAGAGCATACGTCTGTAATTATGCAGTCAAAATAAGATTTAAAATTTACTTTATAATTTTCTCTTCACAGCTTGTTTTTTCAATCTCAAAATCTAATTAATTAAGACCTGTTCATGTTTAGGAGCACAAAACCATACGACTGTACTGCCCGGATATTTGTGTGTTTACTATCTTTTTTCTTCTGCTCTTTGGCTTTTCTAACAATCCAAGATGGCGGCGCTTGTGGGGCTGCGAGCATGTTTCTCCGGTAAAACTAGTATATTTAATAGTGTATCAACTGTATTGCATATGCGTGACCATGTTCCCTACAATTACGATGTAATGCCTCATGTGACTTAACATTTAGAATAATTTCTATATCTGTAAATGAAATATATGATGCTTCCTTCCCTCAGCAAGGTCACGTTACCAATGTATTAGCTCGACTTGATACGGATGAGACTGGATTTAAAATGAATAACTAACATTTACTAAAGACGTAAAACAAACCCTGCTATCACAGTATACGGGAAAAAACACGGGGGTGTCGGGTGAAAGATTTGTAATATATATGTGTTGCAGATATATTACAAAATGCTAAGTTACGTGACCTCTTGAATACTACATGATACTTGGTGATTAACTCTTGTAAATGCCGTTTGACCCACCATCTCAAAGGTATATAGGAGAACCACCCGCTTCACTTTTTGAACGAAATTCTCTGTTCTTGTTTGACGAGCATGTATCACTAGAATTATTGACAAATGGGAGGACCAATAGTCTTGATGATCCACCCGGAAGTAGAAAGTAGAACAAATATCCTATATACCTTTTTAATTCTGCTGCTTCTTTTTAGCACTTCAGCTTACATCTCCAAGCCTTCTGCACAGCACTTATAGATTGGTGGGTATATGTCTCAACTATGTGGTCTTATTTACATATTTAGTCTCACAACAACTTGGAGAACTCACTTTCTGTTACTTTTAGTGTGCGGTTCCTTTGAGTCGGCGGACTTTTGCTGCTGAAGCCAAGAAAACCTACACTCGAGACAAGCCTCATGTTAACATTGGAACTATTGGGCATGTGGATCACGGCAAAACCACCCTGACTGCAGCCATTACTAAAGGTGTGCTAGTGGTGCCTGTAATATTACGATGTAAATCCTTGTTTGTGTGTAATTGTCCCTTTTTTCTTTTAGTTCTTGCAGATGCAGGAGGAGCCAACTTTAAAAAATATGAAGATATTGACAACGCACCAGAGGAGAAAGCCAGAGGGATCACAATCAATGCATCTCATGTGGAGTACACGACGGCCAACAGACATTATGCCCACACAGACTGCCCTGGCCATGCTGACTATGTCAAGGTACTTTGTTTGCACTACTTTGCTCCAATCAAACAGCCCTCCCCCAAGTCCCTACACATAAAGCTACACCATGTCACTTTTTTACCTAAAAATCCAACTCTATTAAAACTCCAAAGTATAACAAATATGTGTCCTTAGTGTGAGTGGCTTGTCTCATAATTATAATCTTCTACATTTTGTAAAATTACTTTTTGACAGATCACCCCTAGAAGGTAAAACACCCTTGCACTAATCAATAAAATGAAAGTCAAACCACACACCTTCGAAATGTTTAAATTTAATCTGAAAACAGCACTTGTTGAATCACCTTCTTCCCTTCGGTTTCCAGAACATGATCACTGGCACGGCGCAGATGGATGGCTGTATTCTGGTGGTGGCGGCCACAGACGGACAGATGCCGCAGACCCGTGAGCACCTCCTGCTGGCCCGGCAGATCGGAGTGGAGCACGTGGTGGTGTTCATAAACAAAGCCGATGCTGTGGAGGACAAGGAGATGGTGGAGCTGGTGGAGATCGAGATCCGAGAGTTACTCACTGAGTTTGGATACGACGGAGACAATACACCTGTGGTGATTGGATCTGCCCTCTGTGCACTGGAGGTAATCTCCCCATTGATTTATTATCAAAGTATTGTTGATTTGGCATCACAACTACAGCCGTGGAGTCAGACGACAAATATGGCAATCATCCAGACAAGCACTCTCACTGGTTGTGCTATAGCTGTAACCCTTATTGCTTTAAAAAAGTGACGACTGAATTTGAGAAATCTTTCAGCATTCTATAATAGATCTATACCGACAGGTTCCATTATTGCCAGCAGACGGCGCCAGACACATTTTAAAGGGGACATGTCAAGTCAAATTGACCTTTCAGTTTTTGACTATGTTATAGTCTATTGTTATCTACATTGCACTCCCCTCATTCCACTGACTCACGGCTTCACTGTTGTTGTTTGTTTGATAATTTTCTCACCTGAAATGTGAATTTTTTTGCCTCATATCACACAAGGAAAAAATTATATAATGCTTTTTTTTTTACATTTTTGTCTGTATCAAATGCTAAAAATGTCCATTCCTGATTGATTTTTCAGGGCAAGCAGCCGGAGCTGGGAGTAAACGCGGTGATGAAACTGTTGGAGATTGTGGACTCTTATGTGCCGCTTCCTAAAAGAAAGCTGGACGACCCCTTCCTTCTGCCTGTTGAAGGGGTTTACTCTATTCCAGGTATGCCCTTTTTTAATATTTGCCTAATGTGTATTGTCTGCATATTCATAAGTATATTAATGATGTTTTTCAGGAAGGGGTACAGTTGTATCGGGCACAATGGAGAAAGGAGTGATTAAGAAGGGAGATGAGTGCGAGTTTGTTGGCCACAATCGCGTCTTCAAGTCTGTGGTGACAGGTAACTCAACACTAAGGCAATATTTAAACCCTGGGGACATGTGGTGTTTAGGGGGGTCAGGGTTCAGGTTGTGGACCAAAACGTGAAATGGTTTGATAATGATTGGTTGTGCAATTAGGACGAAATGGAGAATATTCAAGGCTCAAGATATTGGACTTATAATGAAAAGACAAAGCAACATTGTTTTAGATTTGATATAAGGTACAACTGAAGTCGGGTGTATACTTGGTGTTTGAGCTGGAGCCGTGGTTGGTTACGCTGCCACAGTGCGTACACTTGGTAGTTGTGAAGAGATGTTGTAATCCCACACCCCAACCACATGATGGCGATCTCGTGGGAATTGCTTGGGTCACCGAAGGGGTCCCATTATAAAGTTATGCTAGCTACTTTCTCCTCTTCTGAACAAAAACAATGGCGAACTAAGCTTTTTAAGATCGATGAAGAAATTCTCTGAATCTCATTAAATCTGTATCTAAAGTATCTAAAGGTAAATGTAGAGGGCTCTGCATTTGACCCATCCTGATGCCACTAAGGCCCTGTCCACACGAAGTCAAGCTCAGGCCTAAACGCAAAAATACTTTATCAATCCAGTGTATCGTCCATACGAGGCCGGCGTTTTGGGGGGGTGTAAACGAACATTTTTGAAACTAGGTCCCAGAGTGGAAAGATTTCAAAACTCCGTATATGCCGCTCCGTGGTTACTGCCTCTCCGCAATGTATCTGAGACGCTTGCGTCATCGCCCCGCCTCTTGTTAAAGCACGCATGCGCCGCACTCAGAAAATAATGACAACAACAATGTAGCTTGTTGTTTTGTAATCCAGTGCGACCCGAAGCAACAGTTCAACCTCATCGTCCGTCCATACTAATGTAGTACCAGCTCGCCCACTCGCCATGTTGTCTGTTTACAAAATTCCGCGCATGCCCACGGAAGTTTGGGCTTGATCCCGTCATTGCGTCACAGCGCCACCAACAGGTCTGGCATAGTTTCACAGCGTTTTCAGGCGTATTGACTACATTCATATGGACGCACACATTTACTGAGCTAACTCCGTGTTTACAGAAAAAGTTTCTGAAATTATAAGCGTTTTGTCTTCGTGTGGATATAGCCTTAGGCTTACGTCAGGAGCAGTGGTCGCAGTTATACAGCGCCCGGGAACCCATCTCCAGATGTTGATGCTCAGCTTGGTCAGGACTACCGGATAGTGCTGGGTGATATATACATTGACATTTTAGATACGTAACAATCTTGACTATTTTATGCAAGAACCTGCTAGACCTATATTGAAATTCACACACCAAATTATACCGCAACATATAACTTTTACCCTCTGTGTCCCAAATGATACCGCAATATGAATTTTAGGCCATATCGCCCACCCCTACTACCGGAGCTGGAGGATTTAACCTAATCTAGGCGTAAGTTTATTTGACAGTACTATAAAGACGGAGTTCTTGTTGGAAACAGTTATTATTAAATTGTATTTGTGCACAAACAAGCAAAAAACAATCAGCGCAAATCATGCAGTGATCTCACTCTGTCGGAAATGTTATTGTGGTGAGCGTCATGTGACCATGCTGGATCTGCACTGGCAGCAACAGGGAAGATGGTGCATAGCTATAACCCTTATTGCTTTAAAAAGTGAATTTGAGAAAGTCACACCGCAGATGTTTAATTTTGGTCTATCATACACATTTCAAGGTCAATAATGTGATGCCAAATCAGTTTTTGACAATGTCAAAGTTGCCATTGCTCACGGCCACATGGCTGCCGCTTTCACTGTTATACTTACCTGCCACCTCAGTGCTCTTTATTAAAGGTTGCAAAAGACACCTTTCTTCCTAACAACAGGAAACCGGCAAAATTTTACTTTTGCTGGATTTTTTGTCGGGACAAACATAAAATTTTATTCATGAACAAAAAAGTTTGTTTCCCTTAAATGAACTAGTTACTTGTAAAACTATCCTAGATTCTGACTAAACGTGATTGTCCTTCTTCCCTCAGGTATCGAAATGTTCCACAAGTCTTTGGACCGGGCAGAGGCTGGAGATAACCTGGGCGCCCTGGTGCGAGGCCTGAAGAGGGAGGACGTGAGGAGGGGGATGGTCATGTGCAAACCAGGATCCATACTGCCGCACCGGAAAGTCCAGGCCCAGGTCTGTAAGCCCCGTCCGGACACACTGGACCGGTCATCACATTTCAGAAATACATAGATCTTAATTCAAGTGCTTTTTCACAGGTGTACGTGTTGAGTAAAGAAGAGGGTGGAAGACACAAGCCGTTTGTCTCCAACTTTATGCCTGTTATGTTCTCTCTGACCTGGGACATGGCCTGCCGGGTCACTCTGCCCGGAGACAAGGTGAGTGGCAACGCTTTATTTCATGGCTGTTACAAATAATTCCCTGTTGGAAGTCTTATTGGGGCCACAATGCCACATTATATAAAACACTTTTTTTTTCTCATTGTCTGGGCCCAATAAGACAACATGACTATTCTTGGTACTTGTGATCAGATGGCTTTTCTTTGTCACTGCTGCCAAATCCAAATTACAACAATGACAAGTTTTCAACTTTTTCATTGTTGTAAAAGATTGACTAATAAAAAAATGTTTTAAAAAGCTTGACCTCATGTCAGGGATTCTAACTTTTGAAGCATTCTGAATTAAACGTGGTGGTGGTGGTGGTCAGAGGGGCGGATGGCACATACTGTCTGGGCAGCCTCTGTGTTATGGTGGTGCATGTGAAGCATCTTCGAGTGCCATGAACAGAGCTATAGAAGTATTATTAGTAGTATGTATTTTTAAGGTAAAATGCTATTGTTCTGCACATTTCTTATAGCATTGGTAGTATCTCCTATTGTTATTTTTTAGGGTTAGAACATATTCTCTGGTATTTTACATTTGCTATGATAGTCTGTGGCACTATGAAATAACATGGGAAATATACCCAACCCTGTCATAACAATTCACTTTTATCCAAAAAAGTAAGGCTGTAACCAAACTTAATGATCTGTTTTCAGGAGATGGTGATGCCCGGAGAGGACACGCCGCTGATCCTTACCCTGCGTCAGCCCATGGTCCTTCAGCGAGGCCAGCGCTTTACCCTGAGGGACGGCAACCGGACCATCGGCACCGGCCTGGTCACTGACATCCTCACAGCCACCAGCGAGGATGACTCCAACTGGGGCTGAGGCTCGAGGCGGTGGGGGGCTGGAGCTCTGGACGAAGGGGGGGGGGCTAAAGACTTAACGGGACAAGCGTTCGGACGGGATGGCTCGTGCGGTCACACGACGCGCTGCTGCTTTCAAGTGCTTTTGGTGATTTTTATGTAGTATGTTTGTACGAGGAGCTGTTCATACGGAATGTGGAGTGCTTTCATTGAACTGCAGTTGTTGTTAACGGAGTATATTACAGGTCAGATCTAAATTTAAAACCATGCTTTAAATATTTGCAATATTTTAAAATGTATGCAAACTGTTGGTCAAAGAGTTTTACAAATAACTACCATACAAATTATTCATTGTCTACTTGAAAGCAGCATAACGATAATATATACTGTACAAACGCAAGAGAAACCAACTACAATTAGGCAGCATGTATTGCTCTTTCTGCCGGAATATCACATCAACTTGGACATTTGTTTAATAAAATGTATTTAATAAAAGTGAGTTGTTTTATGTTTAAATCAAGCATTAGTTCTACTCTGCTGTCAGTTTAGTTCTTCACCAGCGGAGGGTGACAGACGCGCCACTGCTGTTGAACTAATTAAGAGCATGATTAATGTGAGGTCCAGATTACAAGACAAATGAGAACAAATGGACTTCTTTGCTTGAGGGAAGCGGATATTACCGCGCTGAAATGACCACTCCAAGGACTGCATTAGTTGATACAATATGATGGAACCACGATCTGGCATCTCTCGCCTGTTACCTGCATGGCTTTGTAGAAAGTATTTTTATTTTTCAGACACAGAAGAATAATCATGAACATCAAACACAAAAAAGTATTTGTGTCTGCATGTCCTAGAATCTCTTGGTAGTGCAGAGCGATCAATTCTAGTCATTGAATTCAGTTTATTTTATTTTATGTATTATATAAAAACTATTCAGATACAGCTCTGAATGAATTTCCTAAGACAAGATTTAAATAGAACTGTGGCTCTGTCCCCTGCACACAACAGACCGTCTTCCTCTCCTTAAATAACCTCATGGTCTAGGTGGGTCCCTGGTGCATGATGTGCTCTGCTCCTGACCGGCTGCTCCTGGTGCTTTTGAAGGATTCACTCAAATGAAGGAGACACAGACAGAATGTGGTGCAATAATAACTAGGAAGTTGTAAAGCCTGTATCGTCACATCTGCCAGTATCAGTCTTAACACTTTACTCAGATACAAAAATACTACTCTGCAAAGTGGTTTCTTTCCAAATACACAGATTGCACTAAATCCTACCTGGTGGCTCCCATCCCAACTATCAGACACTGCCCTGCTTAGCCTCTTAGACCTCACAAGATAAAGCATTGAAAAGAAGGTAGGACCACAATTCCTTCTTCCATGTATTTTCCAATCAAATACCATATATTGATTAAAAATAATTGTATAATTATATTGTAATATTTTGCATTAATATAAGTTATTCTTCTTCCCCATTTTTCCTGAATTTGAATTGTGTTTTCATGTTGTCTATCGCCCTCCTGTCACAATAGCCTTTTCATCAATGGACTAGGTTGACAGGACAAAGTCTTCCTCTAATATCCTAAAGTCCAGCTAACTCTGTAATTCTGATTTGTACACATGTCAGTTCCTCACTGCCCAGTTGCTGTTGGCTCTAGGTATTTGAGTGCGAAGCGTCCGGGGGAAATCCAATCAGCCTGTTGCTGTAATCAAATACTGTACGTCTGTGTGAGCTGTGGTGGAGCTGTGACAGGCTCTGAGTGATGTGCTCAGCTGGACCCTGATTCCGTGAGTATGTAAGTACGTGAGCATGTAGTAAACACTCGTCTCATACTAACCATAGCCTGAGCAGTAGATATAGTAGCGTTCAAGTGAAGTGCAGTGGAAACTTAACAGCTGAGGCGTGTTGTGAATGAAGCGGACATTTCAACTGAATCTGGAGGTGGGTTTTAAAACCAAACAGTGCAAAGTGTCAATACATGTTTGCACTTTTTGTCCTGTTGAGTTTTTTTACTGAGAGACCTCAACAAAGATACACACAACTGTGAATGCATACTTATGTTATTAAAAATTAAGGGGGAGTCATTACTTTTTTGCAATCACAGCAGTCCTTTGAGGGTATGACAGGGTTTGCACATCTAGAGCATTTGAGAACAGCAGTTTACAGATTTCACTTAGATTTAGGCCTTGGATTTTAGGACCATTTGAGAACACATGAGTGTATCATTTTAAACATTAAAATATAAGAAAAGTTTTTTATCAGGAAAATAACCCTGATGGTAATGTCAACATCTACTCCGGCCTCAAATATTTTTCTCCTGTATTTTTTTCCCATTCAACTTCCCTTCTTCTCTTTCCCTGCTGAAGAAAAGCAAGTCTACAGCATGATGCTGCCACCCCCATTTTTGAGTCTGGGATGGTGCACTGAGGGAGATGAGCAGTGTTAGTTTTGACATAATTTACTTTTCGGTCAACAAATTTCTATTCTGGACTCCTCTGACCACAGACCACCTCTCCCACATGTTGAATGTGTTTCTCGCTTTGATTCTTGTGACTTTATTTTAACAGTGACTATTGTTTTCTATTTACCACATGCCCATAAAGACCAGATTTGTGTAGCACATGACTAATATTTACCCCATGCACAGATTCCCCGGGTGAGCTGAGGATGTCTGCAGCTCCTCTAGAATACCCATTGGCCTCTTGTCTACATCTGTGATCAGTGTTGCCTGTGTACGCTTGTGCAGCACTTTGGAAACGTTTTGTTGTTTAAATGCGCCAAATATATAAATGATTGGATAGAATTAGACTTGAGTTGTCAGTTTGCGTAGACAGCCGAGTCTTGGTAGATTTGCAGTTGTGCCATACTGTGCTCTGTGAAATCTTTAAAGCTTGGTTTGTTTTACAAACATTTCCCATGCTAAGAACCTCCCTGACCTCTCTGGGGGATTCCTTGGACTTCATGATGTTGTTTAAGGACCAATAGACTCTAAACTTAGCTCGGAGGCCCTCACAGAACAGCTGTAGTTATAGAGAGAAGATTACACACAGGTGGGCTCTACGTAATGGTCAGGGCCCGATGTGAGCATTCACCAGTCATCAGGACCTTTTTAAAGGCAATTCAATGCACTCCGAGTAATGCTGTGTGATCACTTATGCAAACCCAATATTCTAGTTTTTAATATTTAAATAAACCTTTTACTTTGTCTTTCAGTAAAGAAAATTCAAATAATATCCTTGTTTGTGGTTGCAAAATATTCAAAAGTTCAAGCTGTATTATCACATGCGCAGAGCTGTAGTCACATAAGTCCTGGTGGAGCTGGAGGGTGGAGGGAGAGCACAGTAATAAATCTCCCTCATTATCAACGGTACGTTCAGTTCTCGTGGGCCATATTTCATGTCACTCTCTGGAACCACGGAGTCTGTCCTGGACTTTCCAGGAGTTCATGTCTTGTATAGATGAGCTTCTGATCTTCCGTTCAACAGGCTGTTTCTTTTTAATTAATTAATTGCCCACATATGTCCTCAACCTCTGTGTATTCAAAATAAAACGTTTTACCTTAAAAGGTGGTATAAGAATGCAAACATTACATGCATAAACTATAATTCTTCAAAATGTACTAGGTTGCTTCATCTTTGAGTGATCGTGTTGTCCTGCCTTTTAGTGGCACCAACTCTTTCCCCAGCAATGGGTCTGTAATTAATTAAAAATGTATGTAACCATTTTTATTTGTCAACATGAACATGTGTAATATTCTGATATAGGTGTGGAATAGTTTAATACTACTCAGCCCTAAAATGATAAACAAATGTGTTCTTTAGTGAAAGTTTGTGTGAAGTGCAGTCTGACAGGAGCAGTTCGTCAGCTTTAAGTGAGAGGGCAACACACTTGCTCCTCCTCCATCTGAGAACCCTCAATAAACTACATCACCACTGAAAAATTAAAAGTGCGAGCATGCTATTCCCATTCTTAGCATTAACATTGTTCAGGCAATAACAAGTGAGTTGGTTAAAGCCGTTCAAAAATGCTGTTTACAACAGAAAAAGCGCACAGGGTCTAAGAAGTGTATCAATATTGAATGTGTTTTTTAATGGTTGTTATAATTGTACTCTACACCAACACCAAAATACATATTGGTGACAGATTGCAATGGCCTGTTTGGGACGTATGTCCTCTCCAGTGGTCAGGGTCACAGTATCTGACATTCCCTCTGGGTTATATAAGAGTGAAAGAAGAAACCCCTGGCCCACCTCGGACCTGGGCCCACCAAATCTCTGCTAAGAATTAACCACTCTGCCAACGATCAATATCTTGGTCTCATTATGATAACATCAAATGTGAGTTAGAATCAAAAGAAACTGAGATGTGAAATATTGAATTTCTGATCACACAACAATTGACCTAAAATTGTTTATCAACTGTTTTTATCAAAAATAGCCTTTATCTCTATTACCACGTCAATAGAAATAAATGATGTATTAGAACAAGTCAGAAACATCCTAACCTGAACCCATCCTCTCCTGCTGTACGTGACCATCTCAATCCTTTTGAGTTCATCTTAATACCCGTATCATGTCAGTGTCTAATAATGCTCACTGCTTATCACCTTTATGTATGTACACAAAAGAACGTTGCATTCCCTTTCGCTCTGGTAGACTTTATTGTGGTTGTCAACATCGCCTGTCACTTCGTAAATCATTTTCTCACAATGTGCACGGACGCTGAGGGAGCTGAGGTTGCTTTCAGTGGAAGACGGGAGGTCAGAGAGGAGAGACGATGCTATTAAAGAGTCCATCTTGCACAAACATGGCTTATGATAACATTGTTGGGTAAGTGCCTGTAGCTGCTGGTCCATCTGAAAAGGTCGTGGGACCAGAATAAATAAATAAATAACCTCTCATTTGTATGTACAGGACAGGGAGGACTAAAACAGGAGCTCTGGTGGAAGCATTATTTGGTTCTCCCCAAGCGCCTAGGTCCTATGCTCATTTATCCAGCAGGATATAAAAATACAAAACGTGTCGGTGCCTTTGCTGAGAAGGCAGTCAGGTGTAGGAGAGGTAACCCACATGGAGACTGGAGTTTGATAAAGAGTTGTGGCAAAGTGAATCCATCTTGGCTGCAACAACAGTCTACATGTTCTGACCCAATAACTTTTATTAGCGCACCTGTGCTCGCTCAGGGCCGCTTCTCGGTCTGCAAAAGCCCAGCAACAAATATTCTATTCGTACATTGTGTATAAGTATACTATATTTTGAAAATGATCTCTGAGCAGAATGTTACAAAATTCAATTGCTGCCCAGAAGTTTCACTTTTTGGATGTGTGCCCTCTTTTGCCTTTACACGTTTGACAAAAGGGACAGTCTGAAATATGCACTTTTGGTGTTCTAATAAAGGCATTACAGTTCCAATCATACTTTTGTTGCCAGAATATTTGTGTCCATGACACATGTAGCTCCAAATTTCCTGACGTAATCCAGCTGTTGGAGCGAACTCTCTACAGCTAAATTTCACGTAACAAACTGGCAACCCAAATGTGGGCCTCATTCTGCTCTCTGATTGGATAATCTTATTGGATAATCGTCGTTAAAATTGTAAACCTAAATATTATGGACATCATGTCCATTGTATTTTTTTAAACTCAGTTTAAACTTTTGTTCAAAAATGTCCAGATGTAGACTTGATTTAAAATGAAAATATTACATACTATACCTTTAAGGACCATAACTTCATGTCAAGGTCTTCTGGGGGGCTTCCATGACCTTGGAACTGGCAGTCATTTAGGGCTGTAATTAATGATTATTTTGATAATCAATTAGTTATTTTTACAATTATTTGATGAGTAGCTTTGATGCTAAAGCTCAGTGAATTATGTTTTATACATTTGACCAAAACAAAGCTCCAGTGCTGCTCCTGGAGGACATCTTCATAGAGGACCTGCTACACATTGGGTTTTTGGATTAAAAATACTTTGTAAACACATTTTAATTTCCTTCTGCAGTCATTAAAGAATAAAAACTCTTCTCAGTTGAAGTCTATGTAAGGTGCAGATGTACTTAAAGTCAATATATTAGTCTTGTTCTTCTAAATATGAAAATCTAGACCTTTTGTAATTTGAGATGTCCTTTGATGTGATGGATTGGAAACTGAAACTAAATTGAGAGTTATCATTTGCATACAGACAATTAAACAAATACTCAAGGATCTATCTAAAAGTTTGTCCTCAGAAAAGTAATTATTGACCATTAACATTAATTTAATGAATGAATGGTTAGCTCATTTAAGTGCCAACCATTCATGAAAAGCCACAGTTTTGTTTTTAAGCCATTGTATAAAAGTTTTTGAAGCTAATCAATGTGAATACCCTGTATTTTTTCATATACTTGAAGAAATGTTTTGTGATGTTTTACATCACAATCCTTGATGGCTCCTCGTGCCGCTGGCTGGCAGTCACCGGGCCTGCTGACGGGACACAGTACAGGACGTCTCATATCTCCGACTCTCTGTGGGAAGAGGCCTGGTCACTGCCTGTAGCAGACAGTCCAGACTGCCGCTTCTGCTGCCCTCTGCGCTCCTCCTCCTCTTCCTCCTCATCCCGGCTGATGAAGGCCAGCTCATTCTCGTAACAGAAGGAGTTTGCTCTAGACGCAGTGAACTTCTTGTTCTCCATTTCTTTGGCACTGCATCTTGGTGTGGATGGTACTTCAAAGGTTTTGTGAAAGTAAGAGTAGTCTATCCTGTACTGGTTCTTCTCTTCAAAGAGAACTGGTTCAAAGCGGTGCCCCCAAAGGATCTCTGAGGGCAGGTACGAGCTCCGTGCCTGAGTGGTCATCGCGGTGGCCTCCACCAAACCCTCCAGGATGATGACGATCTCAAAGTCTGCTGTCTCCAGGTCTTGTTTGCTGATGCCAAACAAGGGGCTCTCCTCATCTATCTCATGAATGACTGTGAGGGGAGCGACCAGGAACAGGCGGTCTGTGCCTTTGTCGTAGCCCACATTCATGTCCAGCTGGTCCAGAGGGATGTACTCTCCCTCCTCTGTGTACCGAGGCTTCACCAGCTGTGCCCGGACATGAGCCTCTACAAGCTGGCTCTTTCTAAGATTGGCCACTCGAAACATGAGGCACAACTTTCCATCTCTCATGGCAATGACTGCGGTCTGGCTGAACAGGAGAGTTTCTGCACGTTTCTTGGGCCGTGCCATCTTGGCCATGATGGCACCGATCATGAAGGCGTCGATGATGCAGCCCATAATAGACTGTAAGACCACCATGAAGACAGCAGCAGGGCATTCCTCCGTCACACAGCGCGCTCCGTAGCCTATAGTCGTCTGGGTCTCAATTGAAAACAGAAACGCTGCCACAAAGGACCTGACCAGCGTCACACAGGGAGTGAAACTGTCGTCATTGTTTTCCATGTCCCCGTGCAGCGTGCCTATGACCCAGTATCCCAAACCAAACAAGAGCCAGGACAGCACAAAGGCCAGGCTGAACAGCAGGAACATGAACCTCCATCGGATGTCCACACAGGTGGTGAAGATGTCTGTTAAGTACCTCTGTGACAGCTCCTCCATGTTGGAGAAGTGCACGTTGCACTGGCCGCTCTTACTGACAAAGCGTGTGTGGTATCGCCGCCGCGTGTGGATTTTGCCATTGCCAAAAGTCCCAACAGCAGGCATGATACTGAGTCTGAAGCTCTCGTCTTCAGCAGACACAAAGCTGTGGTGGTTGGACCTCTCCACACTCATCCCTCTGTGGGCTGGGAGGCACAGACACAGGTCACAGGGCCACAGGACGCATGGACGGGTCTGTCGGGAAAGCATGGCAGATATTAGACGACTCAGTATACATCTGTGTTAATGATACAACTGGGGCAGACATTATTGGAACAACAAGGCCAAGAGGATCCACAACATATTTTTAACAAATCTGAACCAACGGTATAATATTGTATTGTCGTAATTCAAGAGGAAAGAGAGTGGTCACTGCAATGGGTGGAAAAATACAAATCTTTAGGATCAAAAACATGTAGAAACAGAAAAAGAGGACTTTAACCTCAAATTCATTGGACTTGCCAATCAAGAACTTTTATTTAAGGTACTGGGGCTCCTCGGATTTCCTCCTTTTCCTCTGCCTATTGTAATCTATAACTGTATGTACCGTGAAGTATTATGAACGAATTATGAAGGAATGGTCCCGGTATTGTTTTATTTTGTCTTTTGGGTTGAATGGGTGAGGGGATTAGAATTAGAATGATTAGAATGATTTAGAAAGAAATTGTAAGCCATAATAATTAGCAAAATGAAAACAAATAAAGGCTTGGCCTATGTCCCTTTGTGTGTATTAAGTCAATATCATACATATTTTTAGGTTGAATTACAAAAAATAAATTAACTTTTGAACAATATTCTAAGTTTCTGAGTTTCAGCTCTAAGGGTTTGCTTCAATCCTCTCTTTTCAAATAATTTTCATTCTTGTGTCTGTTAAAGGTGTTGACATTAGAATGTTGTGTTATCATTTTAATGAATCATAAATGTGGCTGAAATACATTTGGCTGGTTGCATTTTAATTCACCTTTGGCGCCTGGATTTCTGGACGAAGGGGGTTGTATGTTAATCCATTTTGCCAAGAGGAAGGTTTTCAAACAATGCGAGCAGTGATACTTTACACGTTAATAAGGAAGGTCAATGTCGCATTGTTCCTTTGTGCTGTTGTCTTCCTAAACGCACATGATGAAGGTGTGTCTGGTCGACCTAAAGCAAGTTACATCAGTTCGAGGTCAGACCTGCTCTTAAAGGTGGCCGAGCTCTGTGCTCTCTCTGTGAGGACAAGCTAAAAGTGTGAACTATGTCTGTTTGTGTGAGCAATTTTGTCCAGGTTCGACTGTGGTTTAAAATCAGCATTAACAGGTATATAGGAGGACTTTCTACTGCCGGGTGGATCATCAAGACTATTGGTCCTCAAATAAGACCAGAGAGTTGGGTTCAAAAAATAGAATGGGCGGTTCTTTCCTAAAATGTGGGGAAATCCTCTTATATACTTTGAAGATACGTGAAAATGTGCTGTTCAGGTTTTTCATCAAATAATTCATTCATTCAAATACAATAATGTATTTCATGGCCTGTGCAACAGCCTATAGCTGGTACCTTGTCCAAAATAACCCAGGTTAGAAGGAAACTAGAAGGTTATCTTGACATAGAATGGTTACAACGTAAATCATTTGTTATGTTCAAATCACATTTTCGAACACTCGCGGTGCATGCAATACATGTTTGTGCGGTAAACACAGCACAGAAATAGCCAGCTAATCCAATGCCCTGCCATTTTATGTGACGTATGTTCTCCTTCTTCTCCAGCAGATGATTACAGCCCCTGGAGTGCTGCTGATTCTCCAGAGCCTGAATCCAAAATATATGTCCCATAAACAGGATGGCAGTGATTACATCAACATGGACTTCGTTTTCAATGGATCACCTTCTCTTTACAAACATGGCCACTTTTTTTTGTGTTCATACTTTACTGTGTCTTCATTTATTCAATTTTTTTCTAGGCATAGGCTTATATTAAAACCTTTTTTATTTCTATATTATTAAACTAAATATTAAAACAATACATATATAGATATATATATTTTCACATATATCTTCACACCGAGACCAATAATAATAATAATTGAAATTATATATAGAACAATAACAATAATAATTATTATTATTATCATTATAATAAAAGTAAAGTACAGTAAAACAAAAATGAAATAAAAAACATAAATGATAATCAAGAATGGCAAAAGATACATGTGAAAAACTATTTTGTATAGCTAGCTAAGAAGCCTAGCAACTAGTTATGTGTGCTCCCTGTGGGCTCTTACTACTGTCCTGTTTGTGCGCTGCAACACTGACATTTCCCCACTCTGGGATGAATAAAGCTGTTGGAGAGGGCTATTGTTATTTTTTCACATTATTATTATTTTTCCAGCGAAAGGATTCGAATTTTGACCCTAAAGACATGCACAAATGTCTGCACATGGGGGTCGGCGAAAAGTTTCATAAAATGAACGTTTCAAAATTGTTTGACGCACGGCATCTCTATAGCGCCCCCTGGAAATGTCAAATCTTCAAAGCCTATGGGAGCCAGACATGCATATTACAGAGTAGATAAACCAAATTCAGGTCAGTGATAGATCTCTATGAGACGAGCCTAAAACTCTCCTGAGCCTCGCTCTGGGACCAACAGGAAGTCTGCCATGATGGTCTCATGTTTCAACGCCAATTTTACTTTTCGGATTCGAACTACTCATCTAACAGATTTCTACCATGTCATCTCCCAATCTGGACAGATTGAAGTTAAATAATCCCTTCCTTGAAAAAAGTTAGAAATTCTTCACCGTTTTCGTCCCTCGCCATGGCGAATAAGGCCTTCGTTTTGGCCATTTTCGCTGAGCCCTGAGGGCCACAGGCTCAGACCTACAGAGCTGAGACTCACATCAGTAATATTAGGTTATGGCCTGAACGCCATGACACTAAAATCATTCGCCCAATATGAGCTCTTTAGCGCCACCTGTCGGAAAGTAATAGGGCACTAGTGCACATCTAACCACTGGGAGCGCCCTGAATTCTTTGAATGAGCTTTTGAGGACAGCGTTTGTTTTAGAAATTAGTTCACAAATACAGCGTATGACTCTGAACCATAGACTGTATATATTATCGGACGTAGTCACGTCTATCTCTGCCGTTCTAACTAGTGGGCCAAAAATTGGGCTTTTGTGGAGTGATTCAAAATGGTCGCGGGGGCTGGAAAATGTGAAAAAACGCATCTGCACATGCGTCAGCCGGCGGGAGCTCCATTCATTTAAACGAGTGACTTCAAAAATTCACACAGTGGTCCAAAAAATTCACCCCCCTCAGCATTGACACACATGTGGAACGGAGCTTTGGGCCAAGAGCCAACTTTTGGACCATCCTGTAAAGGTGTTTTTGAGAGGTAAGAAGATGCTATATGTTAGCATTGGCTAATTCTTATTCTGGGTCCACCCTCATCGGCCCGGGGTGGTATTGCAAGCATGTCAGCGCACGTCAATTAGGCCACTTTTGAGCCGGGACCCGCCCCCAGTGCTCTGAACACAACAATATGCAACATACAACTATCAGTGCAACAACAACACCTCCAAAGACTTCTACCATGTAATTTCTCCATCTGCAGTTATTCTGGACAATTTGGAGGTATAACATTTTCAAGAAAAAGTTAGAAATTCTTCACAGTTTTCATGCAAGGCGATTGATGTTGTTTGTTGCTCTCTTGGCCACAGGCTCAGACCTACAGAGCTGAAACTCACATCACTAACAGTTGGTATTGGCCTGAGCTTAATGGTGTGAAAATACACAACTAATATGACTCTAGAGCGCCACCTATGGGAGGCGTCCGACCTAAACTTTTCCAATCCTCACCAAAGTCACACAGTCAAATCTTTACATCCGTACGAGCAAATTACTACATTACGCAGCGGGTGCATGTCCCACAGGTGACCACTAGGGGCTCACTAAATCCTATTAATGAGCTTTTCCCTGCGCAATTCTGGTCCTATCAGGCTGCGAATTCATCGGCAAGTGCACCGCATGTCACTTATGGTACTGACACCTGGGAGGCGGTTGCGAGAGCGAAGAGGGCTTTCTTCGCCGCTTGCGGCTTTAATTATGTTATTATAAATTACGTTGCTTTTTATTGCTCATTGGATGTGTATTCTAAGCATTGAATTTAGTTTTTTGTGCCTTGTTTTTATTTCAACGCTATGATATACATTGATGCAATTTTTTATTACAAATAATTAAGCCAAAAAAATGAATGACAAATATGACTCTTTTCTTTAAATTCACATTATTGACATGGTTGCTGTGATAGTATTGTTGCCTATAATTAATTTTTTAGTAAAGCAGTTTTCATGAAGAGCAATTGGCAACATCTCCCACCAATCTGCTCAAAGTCCAGTCATATCTAGCCCACTTAACTCACAAAAACCTGCTCAAAACATTGCTCATACACGTAAATATGTTCTGCTGTTTAAGCCTAGCTTGTACACAGTGATTGACATGTATATAAAAACCTACTCAGTATTTGCACAGTTACAAGTGGGATCTAAGCGCTAAAGCTGTAAATAAGATCTCAGTGTGGATAAAGCAGACACAGATGTCCTGTGGGCATGTGCTCCTCTCCAAAGAACAGGTGCAGCCTGTTTGGTGGATTTATTTAAAACTGAAGCGTGAAATGTAAAGATTTCAGAGTGCAAACCTGCCATTGATAAAACAGAAGCCATAAGCCCCTCGTCTGAATGTGCATGTGTGCACGTGTCTTTTAGACAGTTCCTCGAAGTACAGTTGCTAGGAGCCAGGATGTTGAGGATCTAAATATACCATAGTCTGCTGTGCCATGCTCTGCCTTTGAGCTTAGCACTTATTGTTTGCTACCAGACCTGTAACACTAGAGACAATATAACATTACAGCATAATAAAAATAAATAAATTGACTAACCTTGTGCGCAGATGGCTGGCTCAGCTCTGGTCCCACTTGTTGTCCTCTCACTGAGTTTCTTGCTGTTTTCTTGCATAGTTCTTTATATTCTGGACATAGAGTTGTTTATAAACTCCTGTTGTTGCTTGACTTCATATTTCTTGAAGCTGGAACTCATTCATTCCAGATTGCAATGGCTGTAGTCTTGTAGTTTTTGATCCCTGCTGCATCCAAAAATATACAAAAGGGTCCATAAAAAATGGTCCAAAAACATGTGTACGCTGTTTTCTTGTGAGTTATCCTTTGAGAATATTTGCCATCTGATCTATCTGTGGTGCTGAGCTCACTCGGTATCCCACATCCAGAGCAGAGCGGTCACAGCTCTCCCCTTCCTCCCCTCCCTCCCTCGAGCTGTGTCACTGTAGATTGCTGGCATTTGCAAACTACGAAACATGTTCTAAAACAAGTATTGCACCATGAGGGTCTGCAGTTGTGCCCTGTGAGTGGCAGAGTGTACACCGGAGTAGAGTGAATTACAATATAGGTACAAAGGCTGTATTCTCATGTTGTGGTTGCTAGGCAAATAGACGCATTTTATAAAAAATGAATTATTGAAACGGGCATAAGAGAGTGGGCTCAGTTTTTGTGATCCAGTATGGGTGACACAATTGGCATTGTGTCTTGAGGATGATTTGGCATGAGGATTCTGGCATCTGTAAAGTCACTCATTCTTAAGTAATCATGGCTAACACTTGTGGGCTTCTCTTCTCACCCATGGTAGATCAATCCTTGAGCTGCTTGTGGTTCTTTTGGCTTTTCTGAATTTGATACTGAAGTTACACTGACTTTACAGCATGTATGTCCACAGAGCCAGAGGAGAACCATGTGCTGTTTGTGATGGATTAGAGAGACATGTTCAGCTGGTCGCTGGAATCGGGAAAAACAAGAACAGCTGACAATTGTGGTTGATATTTTTTACAGGCTACGGCAAATTGGTTAGAGAACAAGTCAACGCGAAACTCGCATCATTGAGTTTAGAATAACATCACATCTTGGTCTAACCAAAGCCACACCACAGCAGACAATCTTCAATCAATATTTTTCTAGGGGGACCCCCAGACCCCCTTACAGTCGTGTCATTATTCTATTTTTTGTAATAAAGCATCAAACAATAAACATCCCATAGAGGTTCATTTGATACACAGATATGTTACACGTTTTCATTTAATTATTGTACCTTTTTAATACTTTTAATAAATACAATCCTATGTGAGTTTTTTTCTTAGATAAAATAGTATATTATAATTCTGGATTAGGTTTTTTTTATTTTTATGATTGCCATCCATCTTATATTTATAAATTACTGCTGATATCCCAGTGGTGCTCACTTCCCCAAGTGCAAGTGAAAGAAATAGGTCATTCAAATAATTGTACTGAACAACCAGACACCTGAGATCTACTGACAGTCTTTCTCATTACACCTACAAGTGCACTGCAGGTCAGCCGTGTTCACTGTGGACACATTTGGGACTCACATCACATTCTGTTCTGTTCAGGAAGGGCTGAACCTGTCCCTGCTGAGCAGACATGGGTCTTTTTGAGTGTGGGGGACACCTCTGAGACTCTGCTGCAGTGTACCCCAAGCTCTACTGGATCAACAGCTGCACAAGGTCATTTGGAAGTCCAGCTCCGTCCTGGGATGTCCCCTGGACACAGTGAGGTGGGGGGTATAGGTAAGAAAAATATTGAAAACACAATCATGGCTCAGGTTGTGTGGCAGGGCCCATGGCGAGGGATGGAACCTCCATTGTTCCACTGAAAGCGAAAAGTTCTCCTGCTCTTAGTAAGTAAGTAAATAAGTAAGTAATCTTTATTTATATAGTGCATTTTACAAATCAAGGTCACCAAAAGCGCTTTACAATTGTAGAGTTCAGACACACTGGTGCATCACATCCTTCAACCAACACCTTCACTCACTCATTACATTCATACCTATTGTACATGTTTTAGGGCTGCACCCGGAGCACCCTAAGGAAACCTACGCAGACAGATGCCGTGTGATAGTAATTGGGCTGTGGTGGGCACCAGTAACAACCTTAATTTGAGATGGAGGCTGCTGAACGTAATAACTGCCTGACAACAACAAACATGTTGTAAAGACATGCTTTTCATGGAGCAGTCATCAGATTACAGATGTTTCATGTGATACAAAGACTGAGAGTATCAAGATGACTGTGGTTTTCTTTATATCCTGGAAGATGCCACATCTCATGAGACTACTCCTTCTTACTTGAGGCACTAGAGTTCTTTCATACATTTGATGTGATAAAAACAGAAGATGAAGCAGAAACTTCAAGAAAGATGGAAGGCTCCTAATATATAAGAAAAATATTTAAGAAACATGTTGAGAGACATGGGAAGCCAGGGCCTGTTTAGTGCCATGGACTCATGCAGCAATTCTGCTACATCCAAAGGGTTAACAAGTAACATTCTAGTTTGTACAACAGAAGGTAATGCCAAACTTCACAAGAACAGACAAAGTCATGAGGGTCCGACTGTGTGTCGGGCAACCAGACGGGCTAATGGACTGGCCTCTTTCTCACACAGGTTACTGCATACATTACACACTGTAGGCCGAGTATCAATGATATAAAAGCATTACATAATTATAAGTCAATGCAAACCACTCTCACATTGAAGCTGTCACGCGTAACATGCACTCATGCCATGTTTCAAATCTGGAGTGCACTTTAAAGATTCCTTATTTATTGGTTTCTGTTTTGCTTTGTTGACCATAGGTTGTTCCTCTGGTGGAGACTTTAAATGGGTCATGACTTTTGGGGATGGCAGGCCAGATGTGGAGGGTGCTGTGGGGACAGGCATGGCACAGTCGATAGCTGGTCCCAGGCAGTTATTTAAAGGCTTTTTCACTGGGGTTGGAGCAACAAATTGGGCCAGCAGGGCCACATTTGGGACATAGGCTTGTTAAGAGGGCATGAAGTTTATGTTATCGCCATTACGTGTTCTGAGTGCCTGTGGGCACTGCAAATCTGTAATCTAAGGCATTATATGAAATCAATTGCCAGTAATGTTTTCCTGTAATTGATTTCCTGCTGACATCAAATAAGTTGTAGCCATATGACCTTTACTTACATTGCAATAGAATTCCAGTATTCAGGTTATGTATTCTTGATCTAAAATTTGTCAAAATAAGAATACGTACTAAAAAATATTACTGGGTATATAACAAATAGTGAGTGGACTATTTGTTTTGTTTTTCCTCTGAGGTTTACCTGCTCCACGTGAGCGTCACAGGATGATGCTGATTCTATGTGAGGCAGCAGCATTTCTCCTGATTGTGTGTTTGCCGAGACCATAATTGATCTTGCATGTTTAAATGGGCCACTTATTTCTAGCCTGAGCAGGTGCATGCTTGTGTTTCTACCACAGATCTGTCTTCAGAGCTGCAGACATAGTGAGCCAGCCTGGCTTGCAGGTGCACGTTGCAAAGAAATAGCTGCGAGAACTTGATTATGTATTTACCCCTCAGGTCTTGGTGTGTGGTCTGAGCAATTTAAAGGAGATATTATGCAAGCCTTTGAACTTTTAACCCTGGGATCATGTTGTTTGTGCATAGAATGCATACATCAAATATCTTTTTTTATTTAGGACTGCTGCCAAAAGAAATATATATATATATATATATATATATATATATATATATATATATATATAGAGAGAGAGAGAGAGAGAGAGAGAGAGAGCAGTCATTGTTTTATTATAATTCTCTGTTACAACAATATTGTAATAGAGCATTGTATGTGGTGGGCGACATCTAGTGGTGCAAAATGTGAACAGCAATAATGTAGGCCACTGGCTCTCAACGTAAGTTACATATACAATGAAAACTTGTGTCTTTTGTTTAGTTTAGTCTTCGTCAGGTTTGAAATATTTATGACTTGACTCGTTCGTCGAATGACTTCATTCGTTCCTGCGCACAAGGGCTGTCTTTCAAACTCTGAAAAAGACACAGATTATTATTATTTTTTCTGATTAGCATTACAAGTGTTTGAGTTTTGTTCACTTCAATGATGTGAAATATTACCTTGGATCTCAAGGATCTGAGCTGGTGACAGAGCGACACACTGCCTGCTTTACTTTGAACAGTTGCATCTGATTGGTGGATCCCATTCTCCTCTGGGAACACTGTACAGAAAGAAAGATTAAATTTAAATTAAATTTTAATTTAATTTTAAGCGGACACAGTTTAAATTTCATTGTATATAAATTATATTTAATATGTATTATTGGTATGTATTTGTCTTAGTACATATTTGAAACATGCACTTCTTTGAAAATAATAAGTCCATAAACTCAAAAGTCCTTAACACATAACAACAAGTTCATTTTCATTTTATTTAACTTATTATTGTGAAAAACGTATCGTCAGACCTCTGAAGCTAAGTAGAGTCGTTTTGTTTCTGTGATAAAACGACCTGCCACCTGGTGTTACCTGGTGTGACCTGGTGTGACCTTGGTGCCACCAGGTGCCACCGTGGGTTGGCTGCGGCTGTAAAGTGCCAAACTGTGGTTGTGTCCACAAGAAGCAAGTGTCGCTTCACACATTGCTTAGTGTGAGTTTGGTGTGAATGATCGTGGTGGTCGAAGTTGCTGGTTACAGTAGCTTATGACCATCGTGAATGAATAATTCCATGAGTGAAGTGACTGAGTGTCCAAAAAAGCATTTTATTAAACCGATGCATTATTAATATAATTAAAAATGTATTTCTATAAGCTCAAATATGCTCTCTTAATTCTAATTTTGTCATATGCAGTAGGTACCTATTTGTTACTTTAAAAATATCTTACTTGGATTTTGTCCATGTCGACTTGGGGACCATGTGGCACATTTCAAGCCATCATAGAATTTCTCATCTGGGGTTCCGACGCACAAAGCCTTAAGCTTGTTCTGAGCATAAATTGTATCCTTGACACACAAAACACAATTAATATAAATTCATTGAATCAGTTTCTGCAGAACGCAAACACCTGGAGACACTACCATTTGAGCGAGTTTCAGTTCTTCCTTAAGAGACTCGGCTTCTTGCCTGAGAAACTGCATCTCTGCTTCACGTGCTCGTAACATGACCTGTCAAGCAAAAAATACAGCTAGAAAACGTCATAAAGAAACAAAGAAAGAAACGTTTTTATTTGAGTTTTACCTCCATCTCATATGTGTCAGGTTCATCTGCAGTCAGCCGTGCAGTACTCCCACAATCATCTGCTTTGCTCTTCACAAAAAAACACAGTAAAGGCAATTTACTGGAATATAAGCCACTATTCTTTTTCATCTCTCTTAACTCTGCAGCTTATATAGTGATGTGGCTTATATAGCGATGGAGTTTATACAGTGATGGAGCTTATATAGTGATGCAGCTTATAGAGTGATGCAGCTTCTATAGTGATGCAGCTTATACAATGATGGAGCTTTTATAGTGATGGAGCTTTTATAGTGATGCAGCTTAGACAGTGATGCAGCTTATATAGTGATGCAGCTTATACAGTGATGGAAGTTTTATAGTGATGCAGCTTATACAGTGATGGAGCTTTTATAGTGATGAGGCTTATATAGTGATGCAGCTTAGATAGTGATGCAGCTTATATAGTGATGCAGCTTATACAGTGATGGAGCTTTTATAGTAATGAGGCTTATATAGTGATGCAGCTTAGACAGTGATGCAGCTTATATAGTGATGGAGCTTCAATAGTGATGGAGCTTATATAGTGATGAGGCTTATATAGTGATGCAGCTTATATAGTGATTCAGCTTATATAGTGATGGAGCTTCAATAGTGATGGAGCTTATATAGTGATGCAGTTTATATAGTGATGGAGCTTATATAATGATGGAGCTTATATAGTGATGCAGCTTGTATAGTGATGGAGCTCATACAGTGATGGAGCTTAGGCAGTGATGCATCTTATATATAGTGATGGAGCTTATATAGTGATGCAGCTTATATATAGTGATGGAGCTTATATAGTGATGGAGCTTATATAGTGATGCATCTTATATAGTGATGGAGCTTATACAGTGATGGAGCTTATATAGTGATGCATCTTATATAGTGATGGAGCTTATACAGTGATGGAGCTTATATAGTGATGCAGCTTATATAGTGATGCAGCTTCTATAATGATTCAGCTTATATAGTGATGCAGCTTATATAGTGAGGCAGCTTATATAGTGATGCAGCTTATATAGTGATGCAGCTTATATAGTGATTCAGCTTATATAGTGATGCAGCTTATATAGTGATGCAGCTTATATAGTGATGCAGCTTATATAGTGATTCAGCTTATATAGTGATGCAGCTTATATAGTTGTGCAGCTTATATAGTGATTCAGTTTATATAGTGATGCAGCTTATATAGTGATGCAGGTTATATAGTGATGCAGCTTATATAGTGATGCAGCTTATATAGTGATGCAGCGTATATAGTGATTCAGCTTATATAGTGATGCAACTTAGATAGTGATGCAGCTTCTATAATGATTCAGCTTATATAGTGATGCATCTTATATAGTGATGCAGCTTATATAGTGATGCATCTTATATAGTGATGGAGCTTATACAGTGATGGAGCTTATATAGTGATGCATCTTATACAGTGATGGAGCTTATAGAGTGATTCAGCTTATATAGTGATGCAGCTTATATAGTGATTCAGCTTCTATAGTGATTCAGCTTATATAGTGATGCAGCTTTTATAGTGATTCAGCTTCTAAAAACATTCAGCTTATATAGTGATGCAGCTTATATAGTGATGCATCTTATATAGTGATGGAGCTTATACAGTGATGGAGCTTATATAGTGATGGAGCTTATACAGTGATGGAGCTTATATAGTGATGCATGTTATATAGTGATGGAGCTTATACAGTGATGGAGCTTATATAGTGATGCAGCTTATATAGTGATGCAGCTTCTATAATGATTCAGCTTATATAGTGATGCAGCTTATATAGTGAGGCAGCTTATATAGTGATGCAGCTTATATAGTGATGCAGCTTATATAGTGATTCAGCTTATATAGTGATGCAGCTTATATAGTGATGCAGCTTATATAGTGATGCAGCTTATATAGTGATTCAGCTTATATAGTGATGCAGCTTATATAGTTGTGCAGCTTATATAGTGATTCAGTTTATATAGTGATGCAGCTTATATAGTGATGCAGGTTATATAGTGATGCAGCTTATATAGTGATGCAGCTTATATAGTGATGCAGCGTATATAGTGATTCAGCTTATATAGTGATGCAACTTAGATAGTGATGCAGCTTCTATAATGATTCAGCTTATATAGTGATGCATCTTATATAGTGATGCAGCTTATATAGTGATGCATCTTATATAGTGATGGAGCTTATACAGTGATGGAGCTTATATAGTGATGCATCTTATACAGTGATGGAGCTTATAGAGTGATTCAGCTTATATAGTGATGCAGCTTATATAGTGATTCAGCTTCTATAGTGATTCAGCTTATATAGTGATGCAGCTTTTATAGTGATTCAGCTTCTAAAAACATTCAGCTTATATAGTGATGCAGCTTAGATTGTGATGCAGCTTATATAGTGATGCAGGTTATATAGTGATGCAGCTTATATAGTGATGCAGCTTATATAGTGATGCAGCTTATATAGTGATGGAGCTTAGATAGTGATGCAGCTTATATAGTGATGGAGCTTTTATAGTGATGAGGCTTATATAGTGATGCAGCTTAGACAGTGATGCAGCTTAGATAGTGATGGAGCTTATATAGTGATGGAGCTTATATAGTGATGCAGGTTATATAGTGATGAGGCTTATATAGTGATGCAGCTTAGATAGTGATGCAGCTTAGATAGTGATGCAGCTTATATAGTGATTCAGCTTATATAGTGATGGAGCTTATATAGTGATGCAGCCAATGTATGTTTTTTAATATGGTCAAGATCCTCCCCGGTGCGCAAGGAGGGAAAGTAGAGAGCGCCAACACGAAGAAGGGTAGGGAAATACACAGATCTTGTTTTTATATGATTAGGGCTAATGTCAGTGTAGAGTTTATGGACTTATTATTTTGACACCATCAAGTGTTAGTAGAGGTGGGTCGCACTGGAAAAGAGTCGACAGTGTGTTGCAACACCTGAACATTAAATCATGTTGTGTCAGGTCGGCTTTGTTTTACTTTGTGTTGTTTATGTGTTATGTGACAAAATTAAAGCCTGCAGCTTATGTTCAAGTGCGGCCTATATGTAGACAACATTTAAGTGCATCTAGGTACAATTTGCATAGAAGTGATTATTGAAGTTAGGTACTTCAGCTTTAAATTCCCTGTATATTACTTTATAACTAAGAATGTGTCTGCCCCCAAAAGCTGCACTGAAAACTAGCAGTGCACAGATACAATACTAGTTATAAAGGAGTATCAGCGCTGATCCGGGTTCTATGATGACGGTAAGTCGATTTTCAGTTAATATAATAATTAAGTAGAGTATTCCATTTACAAGTTTACAAGGCCATTTGCATAATGAGGAGCAAAAATATAATATTGTTAAAAGCATTTCTGTAATTCAACAAAAAATGTGAAAACAATTTATGATATAGATCAGACTTCGTTGATTTTTAGTTCAGTCCATTTTCAAAATATTCAAATTTTATGAGATGTGTTATATGAGTTGTTTACAAGCTGAGAGCCATGATTATCAACAAGTATCTCAATGTTCATGTAGTAGGTCTATCATATCTTGGTTTCACATTGTAGCTTGAATTACAAACTATGTTTTTCAAACAATGTTTTTATGGTTTTGTAGTTACCACTGAGCAAATGACCTGTACCTTCCACAGTTGTAACTTCATTTTAAAACATAGGCTAACAAATGATACAAAAAATAGGCTAACAAACGATACAACAAATATAAAAATGTTGCACAATAAAGTAAAGTATTTACACCTTTGAAATATTGATTGTTTGTTTCAATGCAACAATAACTACTGTGTGAAATAGAATAATATATATTTAGGCCAAACCTGTTTATCCTTTAGGTGCTGTTGTTCATGTTGGTGCTGCATTAGTGCCTTGAGTTTTTGACTGAGTTGAGAGTTTTCTAGACACTTCCGAGTGTGCTGCACGGATAAAACTTCCAAATCCTTGTTCAGAGTCTGTAGTTCCTTTCTTCAAATACACAACACACAATATTAACGATACAATTGAGCCGTCATAAAACTCACAAGAAGCACATACTCATATTCAATGTGCAGTTCTGACATGTCAGCGCTTTCTCTGCTTCTCGTGGTGTGCCGAGTTTTCTCCAGTTCTTCTTTATGTGCTCTCCTCATGGCTATGATAGCTGGAAAAAAAAAAATATTTTTCTATCAAATTAACCCTTTTTCAAGCTGTGTATTGTGTTGTGTATGATTTGTCTTTCTACTTCTACTATAACATTTTGATAAATCCTTCCCGACTTTTGCTGTTCCATTGAAGTTAAAACCACTGTTCAAATACAAATCCTCAACAGATGTCAGATTTCCCTGAAATTATTAAGTAATTATGTTCTTCAATTGTTCTAATTACTTTTAAACTGTGAACATGAAGCAACAAAATAATCATATTTCAGTAAATGAGTTACCAGCCATAGTAGCAGCGGTCTCCTCCTTCAGCAGCTGGTCTTTCTCCTTCAGGAGTTTGGCCACTTCCTTCTGATGCTGCTGCTGCAGATCACTGATGAGCTTCTTGTGCATCTCCTCCAGCGCACTGAACCTCTGCTGAAACATCACACTACTCATTATACTGATAAAACATGTATTTCAGAGCATGGGCTTGCTGCAGAACAGCTTATCTCATCAAATTTTAAGAACATTTTAAGAACATTTAGGTAAGCAACAACAAATATTTTAAAAGTATTTTCAAGTTTAATTGCACTGTATAATGTGGAGAGGTGAGTTTTATTTTTTTAAATAGGATAATATGAAAGAAGTTATAGAAAATGGTAATATTGAGCATAGTACAATTTTAAATTACTGCAAAAAGAAATAGAATGTTAGAATTTAAATTATTTTTCAGATCTATATAAAGTAAATTATATAGTACGCTGGTTCTTGAAGAGCACCTCTTTTAAAATAGAACCAACTGATGCATTCATTATTTTGTTCTTCATATACTAATTATTTTGTACACAATTTTACAGTCATTTCCCAGAGCACGTGCTTCAGCACATTTTAGTTGGATTGCCATCAATAAACTCCTAAAAATCAATTTATGTCCACATAGCCCCATAATTATACATATAGATACCTTAGACTTGTCCTGTTCTTCTGCGTGACCATCTGCACCATCGTGACCTTGACTGGAAGCTGACTTTCCAGTTATTTTGTTCAGTCTCTCTTTGGAAAAACAAGATTTGCTATAATAATCATGCAAATGTTTCATCTCCTCTTCGTGAATTCTCTGCAGCTCTTGTATCTTCTGCTGGAATTCCCTCTCCAGTTTTTGCATCCGTTCCTCATGATGGCTCTCAATTTCCTGCATGTCCTCCAACAGTTTCTGATTTCCCGTCTCGATGATGCACACTCTCTGCTCAGCATGTTGGAGCTCCTCTCTCAGCACACAGTTCACCTCTTCCAGATGACATAATGTTTCCTTAAGCTCTTGCTCTGAACACTGGTTGTCAGATTCTCTCTTGAGATCTAGGTATAACCTGTACGTTAAATAAATGCACTTTGCTTGCTCCTGTACCCACTTCAGATCTGTGTTTTCACATGTTATTGTCTCTGGCATATCCTGGCTGAGTTGGCGTAAAAGTGCAGCTCTTTTGATTAGCATTGATGCCAGTTTGTCCATTAGTTGGTCCTGTTTTTTCTGATCGTTTTTTGTTTGCTCATGCATACTTCCGTCTTCTTTTTTTGTGTGGTCATCGTAAGAGACCCGCTCAGAAGGCTGAATGTCATCCAAGTTTGAATTTTGCAGCTGGAATTTAAAAACCTTGTAAACCAACTCCCCTTCCAGACATGCCCTGCTCACTGCACTTTCCATCAAGTCTTCATTTCTGCTTTGAGCTTTCAAGGCTATCATCTGTCTTAGTAAATGTTCATATCTTTGAGTAAGAGAACCCACGTCTTCTTGAATTGCTTGCAGCTGAAGAGGGACTTTTTTACTTTGAAGTAAAGTGGCCATGGTTTCCACAACAGATATCTCCCGAGACAAACTATACCCAACACTTTTGGAAACACCCTCCACAAGATGAACGCTCTCTGATAACGTTCTGTCATTGAGAATCCTTTCCTCCTCCTTGCTAGCGTGGCGTGATTCATGCTGTTGCTTCTCTGCATCTTTCTCACCTTGCTTGAGACAGTTAACCAAAGTGGAAAGCTGCTTTTCAAAGTTTTCAACATCTATAAGCGACCCAGCTTCTTGCAATCGCCCCCTGCATGCTTGGACGATGTTGAGAGCTACTTGGAACCTCCCAACTAGCATCCTGCAGCGGTTTTCCATATCCTGGGTGAAGCGTTGGTTGTTTTTGGCCTGATTGTGCAAGAGGAGGCCTAGGTGTTGGGCGTTGGCTCGTGTTTGAGTGAGCTGGGAGCAGAGGAGAGGATCTTGGCAGCTCACATGGTTCTGATAGTCCTCCAGCGTCTGCGTGATGTCCCTTAGCTTCTCCTCTGTTACATATAGCTTGGTTTCGAGGACCTGGATGATGGAAGCAAACTTCTCTGGGTCATCACCCTCTGGAACAAGACTCTGGTCAATTGAACGAGAACGCACCCTCGTGGAAACATCAATGCTGGAATTTTCTGCATTGTTTATAACTTGTTTGTTCTCTGTTTCATTCTTGTTTAGCACTTCATTTAGCCTCATTTCAGTTTCCTCTAAGCTGTTCCCCAACACTTCCATCTTAAGCAGGACCTCCGTCAGCTCTTGCTCTTTTTGATCCAGTTGCCGTTCGTAGCCTTCCCTCATGTCCTGAGCCTCGGTTTCCCATTGGCGAACCTTCCCCATAGCCACTTGCAACTCCTCGCAAACTCTCTCGTAGGAATGTTCCAGATTGTAAAACTGTGTCTCATCCGTTTTCAGCCGGTCCTGAAGTCTGCTCACTTCTCCGTTTGATTCATGTACCAGGCTTTGCAGCTCCTGACATTGATTCTCCAGCAGTTCTTTTTCCTCTCGAAGCTCTTGCATGGTGGATACTGTTTGTTGCAGCTCCTCTTGAAGTTGCTCCTGGGCTTCTTGTATCTCTTTGGTCCATGCTTGAGATTTGTTACAGTTCTCAACCTGCTGTTTTGCCTGTTCCAGCTGTTCTTGAAGGTCTTGTGATCGTTTTTCTGCTTGGGCCAGACTAGCAGCCAGAGTCCTGCGTTCTCGCTCCTGACTTGCCTGGAGGAGCATGAGATGCTGTTCAAGTAGCGCCTCTTTTTGGGCTTGGGTGTCCTCATAGGCACGGAGTTGACTTGAAACCTCTTGGTAATTTTCACGCAACTGGTTGGCTTCTTGTTGCATATCGCACAAACCTTGCACTTGTTGCTGGACTTGTGTTAGATGTGCCTCGGCTTCAACTCTCTTATCTTCACTGGTTTGTAGCTGAGCTTTCAATGATGAAATAATTTGTTCCAATTCCAGCTCTTTTTCCTTGAATATTCTGCTATCCTGCTCCAACTGGGCTTGAGCTAGCGTCGTCGCATCACCAGTCACCAGCAACTGTGCTTGCTGTGCCAAGATGTCCACCCTCCTGCGGAGTTCGGCCTGTCTGGCTTCCTCCTGGTAGCGCCACTGTGCCTCCAGCTCTGTACGGAGATCCTGGTTGGTTTTCTGAAGACGCTGAAAAGCAATTTGGTCCATAGAATTAATCTGCAGGACAATAAAGAAATGGGATTAGATGACTCATATACATCTGGTGCATGTAATGAATGCGTTATACCTGTTGAGGAGTCATCTCTTTTAATTGTCTCTCTTTTTGTTGTTTAAGATCATCTTGTAGGGATTTGTTGATCAGCTGCAGCCGAGATAATTCTTTTTGTGTTTTTTCCAACTGTAAATGTAGGAAAAAAGAATATGGCAGTTTATGATTATGAATTCCAGAAAATAGCATGTTCATCACTGGTTTATATTTAACTTGGTGGTACTAGTTCTAATTTAAAAATATATATATAAATATAAATATTCAAACACAGTATGCTTATTTAGAAAGGTATATCACTTTTTTAAAAAAGGATTTTATTTATAGTTACAAAGAAAAATGTTTGGCCCGACCTCTTTAACCAGCAGTCCTGTGTGTTTTCCACTGGCCTCTGCTTCTTCACCCGGCAAGAAATTATTCATTGATTGCGGAGCATCTTTTTCTAGAGGTGTTCCTGGTTCTATGTTTACGTCTCCATTCAAACATGCATCATTGGAAACCTCTGATCAAGAAGTGCAAATACAGGTTATAAAAAGCTATTTCAAGAATATTTCTTAAAATGGATCACTTACCATTCTCTGTGCTTTGACTGAGGTTGTCAGTAGAGTGATCTTTATTGTGTTGGCCATGAGGAGGATGGAGAGGAGTGTTTAAAGGGGTGGGTGAAGAGGGAGGGGTGGGTGAGGAAGGAGGGGTGGGTGAGGAGGGAGGGGTGGGTGAGGAGGGAGGAGGCAGTGCTGACCCAGTGGTTATATGGTCAGCCGTTGAATCTGCATTGAACTGCTTTGTGTGTGTCTGTTCATTCATGTGCTCAGAAGAGTTGAGTATTTTAGCTCCAGTCTCTTCTGCATATCCATCTATTGCTTTGTCTGTGGATTCACTGAAGCTGAAATGTTAGAAAATAGTGCTAAGTCTAATAAGGAGAGAGAGGCTAAATTTAAATGCAATGACTGTTCCCACTCACTCTGTAATTGCAGGAGTAGTATTGGACCTTACGTTCCTCAACACGGCTTGGACCCAGTTGCGTCTCATTCCAGAGGTCATGGCACAGAGAGTGTACACACCATCTCTGGTCTGCAGAAAGAAAAACACCAAGACATTTTCTGAGTACTTCTGTTTTCACCCAATGCATATCTGTCACTGATGGGTTTTTTTGTATTTATTTTTTATTAAAATCACAGTAATTCAATGTGCTGTTTGTGATACACCACTATGAAGAGGCCAGTTCTATCAATTCAGAAGTCAATTGAAAAGTTAAAGGAGGATGCATGAAACATTTTGAGCTTTTTACAATGCTACAACATTGTTCCCTCATCAAAAGTTGTTTTTAGATCCATGCACGCTAATATCAAGAACTTCTGGGACAAATATGTAACTCCTGTCTCAGTCCTGTAATAGTATGATGTCATTATACAATTTCAGTACAAATCTACTGGCCGATCGCATTATTTACCCTTGATACTTGTTTCACCATATATTTCTACTGAAGATACTATTTCACATTCTAAAACATGCAATGCTAAAGTAAATGATCCCATTGTCATTTTTGATGGCCAAAAACAAACAACTTAGCCACCTTAGATCAATATTTTTGTTCATAAAACCTATCAATTTCAAGATATTTTTCTGCTGACATATACAAACTTTATTATGATAAACAGTTCAAATAAAACTCACACTGACTACAATCAACTTCACTATCATGTTAGGATGTTGTAATGTGGTGGATGTACATCTCAGTTTGTACAGTCTCTGTTAGCGAGTCCGTCAATAAATCCACTCCTAAGTGAAAGCCCACATTGTTATAAATTACCTGTTTCTTGAGTTTGTTGCTGTGCTGGTGACATGCCGCCACAGAAGAGGACTCTATTGACTGATCAGACAGGCTGGTTTTCATTTCCTCAGTGGGAATTAAAGGAGAATCTGGTTGGTCCCTGGATGATCCACATAAAACAGCAGGTGATATTATACCTTTTTTGCAGAGTGCCTAAAGTTGGGGTATCTGACTTTGAAATCACTTTAAATCAACTCTATTTTTTACTTTTCTGTCTGAAAAAGCTGAACTAAAATGTGACAGGAGTTCAAAAATAATGCATGTGAAAACCAGTGATAGAACTAAACTGTTTAGAGAGTGAGAAACTAATTACATGGGTTTTAGGTGGTTTTTAAGTTTTGTTACCTCAATGTCTCAAGTGATGTTGAAAACTTTCCAGAAGATAAGCTTTTTTCCTCTACAGATGAAAAAACAATTAATGAGCAAAGCAGTCAATTATTCCAATCACAATCACGCGTCATGAACAATCACCATCTCTCCCTCTCTGGTCCAGTCTGTTCAGAGAGCGGCTCCCTCGTACGAAGGGTGAGGAGCCGTGGAGGGAGGAGAAGCTCTGGCTGCTGCAGAGGCGGATAGCCGGCCTGGACGACCGAGAGCCTGTTTTTTTGTCCTTAAGTCCCACTTGGCTCTGTTCCTGTGTACTGCATACAGCTTTCCCTCCAGGACTCAAGTCTCTGAGGCCAAAACTGTGGCTCCTTCTAATATTTGTACCACGTCTTCCATTGGCGGCCTGCTTTCCATTAAACACTGAAAAATTTGATTCCTTGTGGGGGAAAAAAAAAGTATATTAAAAAAATCTAAACCAGTTGAATACACATTGGCACCCTGTCCACATTTTAAACCTCACACAATCTCTTAATTCACTTAGCACCATCTGACCGGCTCTGTGATCCTGGTCGCAGACACATCCAAACAGGTGCATTAGCTCAAGTGCAATTAAAATTGAGCACCAGAGAGACACCACATGCCACGATTGTGGGCTTCTGCAGAGGCAATATATCTGAGCTCGGACCAAAAGCCAGAGAAATCGATGGCAGGAGGCCTGAGTTAGCGACTTGCGGTTTTAACTGTGCTGACGTGATCTTATACTGGCCATTAATACAAAACGTAAATCAGAGTGCTGTTCTGAGGCAGAGCCTCAGAACAGCACATTTGAAAAAAAAATGTTTCAAATGTTTTTTGGTAAAATCTATAAGATTGTGTCTCAACCTTTTCTGTACCAAAATTAGCTAAAAATCACATATCTCCAAATCCATTAATCAAAGAAATACTTTATAGGTTAGTTGATAATCATAATCATTGTTTGTGACAGCCTGATTACTTTGATACAGATCATTTCTTAAACACACACAAAACATATTGGTCAATAGGGTACTATACCTTTCCCACTTTCTTCTGCACAGCCTTATCAGCCCTTGAGGAAACTAAAGTGTCCTGCCACCTGTGCAAAGAAATACAAAACTATTCAATAAAGAAATAAAGAAAACATGTGCAATTTTAACGTTGCGATAAGAAATTCTCACTTCAGGAAATGAACAACCACAATTAGGTTATAAGCAAAAATTTAGGACAATTGTATCAAACTTACCTTGGTGCTTTGGACATCATCTTTGCCAGTTCTGTGTAGAGATGATTTTAATGTAAAAGTGGAGTCCTTTGACAGTAAAGGTCTAGGTGGCATGCGTAAAGTAGCCCATGGACCCAACTAACACCTATAAACTCACACATATCCACTCGCACACACATAATCCTGGACTCAGATGACACAGTCCATGAGTTTGGTGGGATTAGGGCAACAGCTTAACAGGATTACGGCCACCATAGTCATTTTAGTGAACTTGACGATCACATTTGTGCTACCGCAAATAAAACGAAACATTGTGTTATATGGTTTTGGACAAATGCCTGTTTACCTTTACATTTATTGTTAGGCTAGAGTCAGATGTCACTGTGTATTCACCAGTTGTGAAGTCAACCAGCTGTTCTTGTAGGAATAGAATAAAGACAAAAAGAAAGTATTGCAGAAATGTACTAATAGTCTTTACATGGACTTCTATTTGATCTGTTTTTCGATATACTGTATATATGATATTTAATATCACAATAAAACACAATTTCAGAAGGGCACCTGATTGATTCCTTGAAAATAGAATACTTCAGAGCATGCTCCTGTATATTGTATAGAGCACAGAACCACAATATATTGTCATACTGTGGTGCCTTGCTCTAATGAGAGTCCATCCAAAGGACAGGCCAGATCAGATACTTTTCCTCATAACTAATACATTTTGTTTATCACATAAGAAAGGCGTCTTATAGGTATGCATACCTATAAGACGCTAATCGCTCTTTTTTCACCTTTTTATGCATGTGAAAAGTAGTGATAAGCTATTAATCTAACTGTTCTGAAAGTGAATAACTAATTAGATGTTTTTATTACATTGTGTCATTGTTGCGGTTTAAAAGTGAGACACCCGTCCCCAGCTATAATTCTGTATATAACACTGAAACATATTTACATTACAATTATTATATTTCTGACACTGAGGTGGTGCATCACAATAGTAAACCTCTAATGTTATTTTTTTACAGAAAGAAACATGGACAATCACTGAGTATATAACATTAGTATAGAACAGTGAGTCTATAACATGAGTGCAGAACAGTAATTATTATAGATCCATGGTATACAGTATAACATTGGTGCAGAACAGTAAGTATACAGTGTATACAGTATATACAGTATATGCAGAAGGCCGGGGCTGTGATTGGCTGCTGGTATGACGTGGCTCACAGCTGATGGCGCTGTAGTGTTTGGCCTCTGCCACTGCTCATCATTTTTAGCATTTCCACTTCTCCACATCCGCACCAGAGTCTACCACCGCGGATCTACGATGGCACAGGCCGCACAGACCAGTGCATTAGACCTGAACACCTCCCAGATCCGGGTAGAGCACGATAGAAAGCGGAGACAGTTTGTTATAAGACTGAACGGTAATCAATCTCCAACATAAACATTAGCTACGACATGCTAATGACAGATGCTAACATGATGCTAACATGATGCTAACACTGTGGTGAGGTTATAACGGCCGTCCCGAAGCTCTTCTCAGACTGACCCCTGTTATTATTGTGTATCAATAACGGGGTATTGCTAACGTGGACAAAGGGGAATGTTTAAGGATGTTTGGCTTTGTATTGTTTGTATAAGATGCAGAAGACTCAACTTCCTACTAGTCTGCAAACTTTGTAATCTGTTTAACCAGTGCGAATGTGCTTTCACTGGAAATACAAATTACCTACTTAAAGTATTCCCTTCATCAAAGCCCACACTAAATCCTGTTTCCCATAAGGAGTGATAGTGGACTATTATTTGGATAAGTTGGCTTTTGTGAGACCCTCTCCTGTGTCTGATTCCACGTTTGGGAAGCCAGGGGTTAAAGCCTGAAGGCCTCAGTTTCCTGAGACTGATTCCCAGTTTATGCAGTTTTCTGAATAGTTTTCCTTGTCTCATACCTATATCTGACTTCAATAGTAACATACTATGCCCATGGATTAGAAAATACACAGATGCATAATGGAAATCACATAATATTTGCATGTTCACTGTATCCACAGGATCTCATGATCGAGCAGTTCTGCTGTATGAATATGTCGGAAAGAAAACAGTGGATTTGCAACACACTGAAGTCCCTGATGCTTATCGAGGAAGAGGAATTGCAAAACATTTAGCCAAGGTAAAATGATAAATCTAGGACCTGTCATAGGGGATTTAACACTATTGTTTTTGCAAGTTATAGAAGCCCAAGTATAAAGGCCTGTCGCAATACAATTACTATATAGTTCAATTAATAATTGCAGGATGAATGTATAGTGGACTCTGTAAAAAGTTACATTTAAAGTAAACTTCTGACTTCTGAAACTAATAAATAATTCAGAAGAAATTACTCAATATTGAACCATGAGAAATTGTTTGGGTGTAAAAATGACTCTTAAAACTCGATTATGGGTTCTTATTTTATTTTTTTATGTTATTGCATTATCCTATCCTATTTTTGAAATGTAATCATTCTAAAAATAAATCTTTGAATCCATAATTACAGGCAGCTATGGATTTTGTGGTGGAAGAGAATCTAAAGGCTCACTTGACGTGCTGGTACATTCAGAAGTATGTGAAAGAAAACCCACAACCTCAGTACTTTGAGCACATTTATCAATGATGCTGCAACATGAGAGACACTGGGACAAACTCCAAGGGAACAAACTGCCTCACATGCTTCGGCATGACAGCAAAGGATCTTCAAGGCTGTGAACACAGGACGTTGCCTTTATCCTTGTTCTCAAGGTGAATCTTCTGCGATATGAGTCCAACTCAAAGGGTCTGTCTGAAGATGCAGAAAGCATCGGAAGGTTTAACCAACACAAGCTCAGGCAAGAACACCAGTGGCAATAGCTGAAAACAAAAAGCAAAAGATAATAACACTGGTTTGTGGTCCATGTTGATTTGGGGAGGCTCAGTGGCCTAGCCATTGATGGCATCTACATGGTTAATTCCCAGATTTTTTCCAGAGATATAATTTAATGCTCTATGTTGCATTTTTAACTGATTTACGTGTCATAATGTAGAAGGGTTGGGCAAATATTTGCGAGATGAACGTGTTTTTAAATGAATTGTTATTCAATCACTAACCCAAGTTAATATGATTATTTGTATCCTTTTAAACTCTTCACATATTCATCTAATTCTTTAACATTTTCGAAGGTGGGCTCCATCTCAAACCAAAGAGCATACCTGACAGTAGTATGCAGATGCATACTAGTCTCATCACAGTACTGTACACAGTCATATTCTGGTGTAGTCAGAATACAATGAGAGATCTCCACCCAGCGTTTATGGCACAGCTAAGGTCTCAACTTTCTTTTTTTGTCGTTTGTGTAGTTAGTTTACTTATTAATAAGCTAAGCTGCAATTGGTCACTGCAGAAACGTCTGTCCACACTGTCGTATTGGTCCCTTTATGTGGCTCTTTCAGGGGTTTCTGCTATTGACAATCTTCCAGTCAGCCAACTCAGAAGTGAACAATACTATATATGTTTTAGGTTTGTACCCATTTCTTTTATTTTATCCTGTTACAATGTTGTTCTTGAGTTACTTCTCTAAGTAATAAAACATAATATATTGAAGTTGTATCTAAAGTTGTGTACTGGTCTGCTGACTGGGTTCATGTAGTGATGCATTCTGCTCTCTTCGTTGGAAAGGTTTAGTTATTTGCTGCCATCTGCTGGTGGTTACATGATGACGCGTTGGTTAAACGTTTGATTAAATTATTAACGTGAAACAGTTTAGTTTTACTTGATGCATACGGCGATTTATCATCGTTTTCACATTCTTATGACTCTAGAAGGCGCTCTGAAGCTACAGCATGTGGACATTTCAGATGGCAGCCCTAAAGGAGACAAGGTCAATAATCCCCTACAAAATGGCTCTGAAACGTTTTTCTATGAATTGTTTTCACATCCAAGCGTTTTGGCTTCTAATGTATATTCAAATCTGCATTTTTAGATAAAAAATTTATAAAGATAGCCATCCTCACTCCGATGGGCTCACTGGCCTCTTTCTTACAAGTATGCAAAAACATAACACGCATTTTGAAGACAGAATGTTCTGGTTGGATTTGTTCAAACATTTTACTTTTTCAATACTTTTTGTTTGACAAAGTGCATGTGTTTATGAAACCAAAATAAGATCCAGTCTTTGCTTTCATGCCTGCATAACACATGTTGCAGAAAGATTTAATAAAAGGTCAGCGCAGTTGTTAAGCAAACACATAAATCAAATGTTGCTTATTCTATCGCTGATGATGTTGTTATTTGGAGCATGTAGGAAAAGAACATCCCGTTCACACAGGACTGCGCTGCATGAAGAGCTGACCTACAACTTCTACATGCAGTAAAGGCATGCACCCTGTCCTTTGTGGGAGTTGTAGTGACGAGAGCGCTTAAGTTGTCCTGTCTGTCACTTTAACAGACTACATTACCCAGACGCTTAGCGGTATTTCTCTTGAGCCGCAATCACGGTGGGATCTCCAACATGGCGTCGCTGGGAAGGAGGCGCGGTGTCCCAGTGAGCAGGGAGAGGTCAGTTACACCACAGAATGCATAAAAAACTAACACCTTTTACCTCCAACATCTGGTAAATCTTGGTCACTAGTCTGCATTCTTAGTACATGTTTTGTGACAAGACAGCAAACCTATTGGTGACGCTGGTAAGCTAGTTTTTTGTGACATAGTTAGCTTGTATTAGCTGGAGTCGTGTACAGCTAACTAGCATTAGCCAGAAAACACTAGCGAACTCATGTGATGTTTTGGTTTTCCTACCTCCAGAGACTGTTAAGAAACTTGATTCACAAAGATCACACACAATCCATCCTCAGCTGGAAAACTCCATCTGGTTAAGTGTTTTGACTCTTCATAAAGATTTTTGTTGTCATTCATGGCCTAATGTTTGGGATAGCTTACGTCCTTTACTCAGAGATTATCAAGATATTTTTCCAATCAAACACTTCTATGACTTGTTTCGCGTTGTGTCAAAGTATGATGTTTGCTTTTGATCAGTAAATAACATCCCGTATCACGCCAATCAGGCCGACATTTTTAGATCATTGTGCTTGCGGCAGTGTAAGTTCAAAAAGGCTTTTCCCAATTACTTATCTGGTTAGACTTTAACGAAAAAAAAAAAAACTGTATATTTTTGGCTCTCATAGAAGAAAGCGACAACTGTCTATAAATTAGTGCTCACTATAAACTGCCTTGACTGAGTGAGCTGTATACAATGCTTTTGTAACTACTACATATTTAATTGTTTACCCTGTCCAAGTTTGAATAGTATAAAAGCATTTTTCACTCTGTTGTCTGTGTTCACAGAGGAGTGATGGCGGCCACTGACTGCTACATTGTCCACGAGATCTACAATGGGGAAAACGCACAAGACCAGTTTGAGTACGAGTTAGAACAAGCATTGGAAGCCCAGTATAAATATATTGTTATTGAACCCACTCGCATTGGAGATGAAACCGCTCGCTGGATTGCAGTAGGAAACTGCCTGCACAAAACGGCAGTGTTGTCAGGTGCTGCTTGCCTCTTGACACCTCTTTCACTGCCCATCGAATATTCTCGTTATGTGGCATTGCCTGCTGGAGCTCTCAGTGTAGCCTGTTCGGCTCTCTATGGGATTTCATGGCAGTTTGACCCCTGCTGCAAGTACCAGGTAGAATACGACAGCCAAAAACTTTCCCGGCTGCCCCTGCATACACTCACTTCCTCCTCACCTGTGGTGTTGGTACGCAGGGATGACATCCACAGAAAGAGACTGCATAATACGATAGCGCTGGCTGCCCTGGCATATTGTGCCAAGAAGATCTATGAACTTTATGCGCTATGAGTGATGGGTGTGCTCTTAAGTGGGTTGAAGAAACAAGTAAGAACCAACGCCATCCAAGCAAGATTCATTATGTTGAGGTCAAATCCAGCAGGTTGATCCACATGCAGTGCATCAATTTAAAACTTTGGTCAGGCGGGATATAGTAGTAAAACTAGAAGGAAGACGTTTTTGGCTTTTTGTTTCCTCTACATATGTGATGACGGCACCACACTCTGTAATAACATGGCACCCCCCACATGCCTGGTCCACAGGGTACTGATACTTCTCTGGACTCAAATCTTTCCAGTATGGAGCAGTTCGTCATTTTTCGTCCTTGTAGTTTTACTGTACCCCTTTTTCCTCATGAGAATATCACCGTCTGATTAAACTTTAGGATATTTCAAGCACACATTTCTGTATTTTATTTTACTTCATCATAAATGGATTCTACATGCTGTCCAAAAAAGCGTATGCAAATAGAAGCAGCTTTTTTGTGAATGTTTCTTGTTCATGTAGATTTATCTTGTTCAAAAGAGTAAGGCTTGTGTGACAATGATGTGGCTTTTGTCCTCTTTTAAAAAACAAATATATACACTTTGAAAGTTGCAGTGCACGCTTAGGTACCTTGTCTCTAATGTATATTACATTAGCCTAAAGCCAGTCCTTTAACTGGGAATTTGATTTCTAACAACATGTTTTAGTATTACATCAATTCCTGATGGACCAGGAAGTTCCAACGTAACATTGTTAATGTGCATTTATGTTATTGTCCATTTTATATTGGAAGTTGGGTTTTGTTTCATTCCAGCTGGCATTTAGAAGTTTCTGCATTGCAAACAGTTTTTTTGGGGGAAGTCGTTCCAAAGGTCCATCTATGTATTGGAAATAAATTTTGTTTGTCAACTTCCTGGTGATATTTTAGCCAAATCCTATGGGGTTACACATACCTCTTTGCGGACACAACAAATTTGCTACTTTATTTGAATATTTTTAAACATATCAACTTTTCAACATAAGTGTATATATGAAATGAATGCAACGCTGGGGTACCTGGATTTTAAACTACCAACAATTAAAGACTTCAATCTTATGAGAAACGTGTAAATTCTCTTATGTCATAGTTGACACAAGATCCTCTGAAGAGGAGCCTTGTTTGGGTGTGTTAAGCTCATATTGTCAACGTTGGGGCTTCTGCACACACAGCTCTTATGCAGCGTAATAGCATAAAGCAAAGTGTCTATTGCTCTACATGAATGATAAACTGATTCGCTCTGATCCTGGATACTCGTCGCACGTCCTTAGAAGACATGAAAGACAGCAGTGTGTTTTGACTCTTTATTTCTTCCCCATGATGAAAAACAATGAGTACAAACATAAATATAATTCCCAGTTTTAAAGTATATCCTTGGAACACATGTACCTTTAGCTGATTTGAGACCCATGCAGTCCCATTATCTGTCAGCTGACCCGAGGTGGATGCTTCAATCTAGACACATTTAGTCATTATATTCTTTATTGAGACACCACTATCTAGACTTTTCATACATGATATTGATTCTCTTGTAATTATTTTTTTTATTACTGAAACCTTGAAAAACATGCATCATTCTGTACACAAACACTCAGGGAAAAGTAGCAGGCAGACAGTGACAGGCTGAATTGCAATACTTCTCAAGTATTCTTTAACTTAAGTTGGAACATTTAAAACCACCTGTGCTAACTTCTAAAAAACAGGCTTTATCGCAGTTTTAGATCAGCTTTTTGCTTTTTGCATGCAGTGAAGTGGAGACTACTTTTGCTCAGCCCAAAGCGTCATGTATTTCCTCACTTAGTTCACACAAAGCAAAGTGTTCCAGTTCAATAGGTAATTTTTACAGTCTATGGGTAAAATACATGACGAAAATCTCCTGTAGCTTTTATGAGTGAAAAAGACTACAACTCCCACAATCCTTCAGGAAAAACAACCTCGTCATGTGCTTCCGCTATCGAGCCCAACCTTCAATGGCAGAAAAGCAGAGTGCGTTTACTGAACTAAAGTGAGTACATACATTTCATTGATTGCAATAAATTCATCCTGTTGATAATATTTTTTTAGAGAAATATTGCGTTATTGGCAGTCACGTTACGTCATACTAACATGTTGCAGTTTTGACACATTCAAAGATTATTTATATATATATGCACTGCTGTTACTTGTTCGAGTGAATGGGTTGTGCATGCAAACCGTAGCGACTTTAATGATAGTAATAAAGAACATGGAGATGCAGGACCACATTGACACATATTTCCTTTGTATTATGCACAATCCTTATAATCTTCATTCATAAATTGCAAAAGCGGCAGTAAAGTCTTTTCTTTATTGTGTATTTTCAGGTTATCACAAGTTGTCTAACCTGTGTTTGCTATGGATCTTGTAACTGGAGGTGGAGGAAGAACTCTCCCTATTGTTTGTGCAAGTGTGGGATTACTCTTGCTCTATCGGTTCCTTCAGCGGTTCCGATCGGGAACAAGTCTCCAGGATGCTGTGGTGGTCATCACTGGTGCAAGTTCAGGGCTAGGAAAAGGTTCGTATTTGTTGTATCATGTTTGTTTCTTGTCTATTGTTTATAATACGTTACTGCTACCATTACCACTGAATGATGATATAATATATTTATCTTTTCAGAGTGTGCCCAGGTGTTTCATTCTGCAGGTGCACGTCTTGTGTTGTGTGGAAGGGATGGTTCCCGTTTGGAGCAAGTTATTGAGGAACTTGTGTCAGGACCTCAAACACAGGGAAAGGTCAGTTTCTCCCACGTTTCTTCTTCTCAGCTACTTGTGTTCGATCTGATTTTCCTTTTATAAGACCTAATGTTTGAACAAACTATAGATAAAATGGCTAGAAAGTCCATTTTGAAATTGGATTTTATTCTACATTCATTGAAAACAATTCAATCTAATCCACTCTATTTATATAGCACATTTCATAAATACAGTTTCCAAGTGCTACAGAATAAAAGAGTTATGGACAGAGTGTCCCATAACTTTGGGTCAGCCACAGAGAAGGCTCTGTCCCCCCGGGTTTAGAGCCACAGAGAAGGCTCTGTCCCCCTGGGTTTAGAGCCACAGAGAAGGCTCTGTCCTCCCGGGTTTAGAGCCACAGAGAAGGCTCTGTCCCCCTGGGTTTAGAGCCACAGAGAAGGCTCTGTCGATGATGTTCCAAGGGTAATTCCATGATTGGTGACTGTGGGGCGCTCAAAACACAACACACAGCATCTGATGCAGTCTGTCCTGCTGTCAGCCTCTCCCACTGTTGTGACCACATTATTGGTGTATTTCAAAACAAAAGTGAAATTGTGTTCTTTTTATTTGTTGATTTTTGTCACAGCCCTTATCTCCATGTTGCTCATACTCTATTTTCAGCAAACACACACTCCAAAAAAGGTTGTGTTCGATTTGGCTGACACAAATGCAGTGCACAAAGCCGCCCTAGACATCCTGGCCTGTTACGGACATGTAGATGTTCTAATCAACAACGCAGGGATCAGTTATCGTGGCAACATTCTGGATACTCATCTTTCAGTACAACGCAGTGTCATGGAAACAAATTACTTTGGGCCTGTCGCTCTTACTCAAGGTCAGTGAGGGCAATTGCATTACTTCTAAGTTGTTGTAATTCTTAAATATTATTCTAAAATTTCTTTCTTCAGCTCTTCTGCCCTCAATGGTGCAGCGCCGCAGTGGTCACATCGTGGTCATCAGCAGTGTCCAAGGCAAGGTGGCCATTCCGTACAGATCTGCCTGTGAGTTGCATCTAATCCCTTTTTTTGTATCCGTCTACAAATGTAATAATCATAAATATTTCCTTTTTAGATACCGCGTCGAAGCATGCCACCCAGGCTTACTTTGACTGCCTACGAGCGGAAATCGACCAACATAGGATTCCAGTTACCGTGATCAGCCCTGGATACATAAAAACCAATATATCCATCAATGCGGTCACGGGAGATGGCAGCAAACATGGAGGCGCGTAGCTTTCTCTTGTTTTTATTAAGCCTCAAAGGTGATGACATCTGTGCAGGATTTTGACCTGGACACTGTTATCTCTTTGTATTCTGGGTTAGTTTTGTTGTTTTTTTATGGGTGTGTATGTGTTGTTTTATAGAGGAAAAAACATATAAAGAACTTTTGTTTTGTTTTAGTGTTGGACAAGACTACAGCCTCTGGTTGGGAACCCAGAGATGTGGCGCTCGCGGTGTTGAGAGCTGTCAGCCTCAAAAGCAAGGACGTTGTACTGGCTGGACCTGTTCCCACATTGGCCGTGTATCTGAGGACATTGTGGCCAGCTCTCTTCTTTAAAATTATGTCTTCTCGGGCCCGTAAGGAACAGAAGAACACGCACAAAAATGAGTGAAACTGGACAATAGATGGAGGGGAGGAAAGTGGACAAATGTTATGTATGTTGACAGAGAATAGATGACCAATCAGGTCTTGATATTTCTTGTGGAACACTTAAGTTATGCTTTATTGTCCCTGTAGGCATTTGACCCATTCTGCACTGCCACTAGGGCCGCAGCAGGCTGTCATCAGCAGTGGTCGTCATAATACAAGGCCCAGGGCCTCATCTCCAGATATTGATGCCCAACTTGAGCACCATGAGGAAACCAAACAGACTGAACAGACTTGATCATGGAAACACCACTCAGAATTATTTCTACAGTTGAGTAAGGGCTGAGAAATAAGAACGGTTTATAAAATGGAGGTTTTACTTTATTTCCATTGTCAATATGAATGGGGACATGAATCTGGTATTGTAAATTTCTAATAAAGAACATTGAACTTTGTGGCAGTTTGAATGTGAATAGGCTCAGTAATTATCAACCATAGTAACTGGTTACCATCAACCATCCATTTTCTTCCCCTTAATCCATTTCTGGGTCAGGGCACTAGCCCCTCGCTGATCCTCCTGCAGGTGGTGAGTCCACAGGAGGACGGCTGCTCTACTTTGAGCTGCCTGCTTTATGCAAAGTGGGGTTAAATTTCTCGCCCAAGGACACAATGACAGAAGATATGAGAGTTGTGAAGTAGGTCTCATGGTAGGTTCACACCCACGTCCTTCAGCCCCAACTGCTCTACCAACTGAGCCACTGTCATTGATGGTTACCATCAACCAAGTCAACATGTTGAATTTGCATTTAACAATTGGAATTCTAACTGGTTTGGAGTACTTAAGACATTCATCTTATATCCTTTGAATGTTCCCAACCTCAGAAATATGTAAAACAGGACAGTTAAGTATAAATACTTTCCAGAAGTCTAAATTGTCAAGCTCAGATGACTTTCTAAATATAAAGGAAGTGGCTTTTTATGGACATATTTATTCATTTACTAAAATGTGACATGTTTATAAGGTAAGTGTGGCACCTAGTAACGACACTTTCACAACAGATGTATCCACAGAAAGATTTTATATAAATTGAACATATTTAAAATTTCTTTTGTTTAAGGAGTTATCTTGTTAAACAGACATATCGTCCATAAATGTAATAAATAGCCCCAACAACAATTTACATATTATACAAAAATCAGTAAATACTGAATTTGAAAATATACAAAAAACTTTCCATTGGGAAAAAACTGCTAAGAACAATTTATAATACGTACATTCACAAAACAGCTTTATAAAAATCCTCATGGAATGAATTAAGAGCTTTTCAGGACTACGCTGAAGCAAGTGTAATCAGCGCTTGTCAATATATGGCTGTTTTTGTTTATGGAATGGCATTAAATGGATAAAATGGTCCACTGCATGAACCAGGAGTGTGAGTATGGCTTTAGTGTTTAGATTCCAATAGTGAACAAGTGAAATCAGTGTGTAGTTGGAAAATTGTCCGAAATTAAAAAGGCGATTTTATCAAATGTGTCAAGACCACAAAAAGTTAAAGTTCGTAGCTTTTCTCATGTAGATGACAAATACGGGAAAATATTCCAAGGGGAACGATTTCCAAAAAATATTGATCTCTTCAAATATACCAACATGTTATGGACACCAAGGACAAGGTTTTGGTCTATCATTGCGTTCAAGACTTTCCACTTTGCTCTGGTGACATTTTTGTTGTTGTAAAGAAAGTGCACGTGTGTAATTTGACATAGTCCTTCTGTGCTTCTGCTTTAATTCAAATGGATCTTTTTAAACGTGCAACTTTTCCAAAACATGGCAACTGTAAAAAACCTGAATATGTAATAAATAATACATGTGTTCTGATATGACATAGTATTGTAGTTCCTGCACATGTGCACATGAGGTATGTACATGTGTCATTAAAGACTGTTTCATCCTAAAAAGCAGCTGGCTGACTCTTATTGCACTTACAAAAGGGACAGGGTTGGCTCTAACGAGGAACGCTTCCTTCAAACATGTGTGCTACTGCTGACCCACACACGGCCAAGCTCTTTGAGCTATTTTCACTACATGAGTTTGTAAATGGGTCTGTCTCCTCGTGTGTGGGGTGAGGCGGGGTCTCCTCAAGGCGGAGGAGTGGGCGGCTCGGCCACGGCCAGTTCTTGGGCCAAGTCGTTGAACCGTGCGATGTAGTCAACGCTGCTCTCGCTCATCATACAGGCCAGCTGACTATCCACCTACAACACACCAAAACAAGCTTAATCCACTAAAAAAGGATGAAGAAGGAAACACTAAAGTTTAAATATGTCCTTCCAACGATGCTTTACAACTACTTACTTCTGCTGGGTCAGGAAGGCCACGAGACTGAAAAGAATCATGGGAGTTGCAGTCCAGGAGGCTTGGGCCAAGTAGAGCCGTACCACTGGAGGGGCCAGATGAGGTGAGGGTGGTTCTTCTTCCCTTATCAGGAGACACCATACTGGCTGGATTCACAAAGAGAGAGATTAGAGTCTTTGAAAGACCTCACAGAAAGGTCAACCTGCAGACACTTCAAGGGGTCCCCTGACCCAGGTTTGTTTAAGACAAGAGGTGCATATTCATTTTCATTCAATCAACAATTTGAAGGCCCCGCTTGAGGCTTTCCACCTCTCCTCGTTTCTTTTCATGTTCTTTATTCATGTGTATAAACCTCCAGCTTCACTGCATGTTGTGTGAGAAAGTCACCAAAGCTAATGTGACTATTATGGGCAAATCAAATTTTAGAAGACCAGTATCTGATCATCTCAAAAGCTCAGTGCACCTCTCAGGGCACCACGGTAATAAAAAAAAGAACATTAAAAATGTAGCTGAATTTTGATATTTATTTTCTAACCCAGATTCATTTGACCGGGTCACCTTTAATCACTGAGGCACAAGGGTTAAACCTTTCTAATGCTGTGTTTAAATAAACCAAATGAGTATGAAGTCAACTTATTTGCTCAATCTTTATGTACAACTCATTATGCACCCGTTTGTCTCAGTGGAAATGTCACGACTTTGTCCCGCAGTATACAGTGACTCACTTATGCAATTCTGAGCATTAAAAAATGTACATACGAACTTTAGTTAATGGTGAATCCTTCCAGCAAGAACATCTCCATGGAGCTCTCACCAGAAAGGTTACAATGTACTTTGGGCGTCTTAGAAGTAGGAGTTGTGGTATTTAAATCACAAGTAGCAAGTAGTAGTGCACTAGCAGCACTAGCAGCATTCAGCAGACACTCGGCTTTCAACCGCTGGCTGTCTGGCTGGTGCCCTCGAAGTGGTGTTGTTCGTGTTGACAATTGGAGTGCCTTTTGGGGAAAGCCCGGTCTCATCCGCTCGGATGATATCCACCCAACGTTGGCGGGTACATCCCTTTTGGCTAAGAATTTGGCCCTGGCTCTAAACTGTTCTGCCCGGCTCAAATGACGGTGCAGAACTGAGGCCCGGGTGCAGAGCTGCTCTGCCACAACCTCTGAGCCCCCATCTGTTCAGTTACTAGCCTCAGAACCTAGTCAGATTGAAACTGTGTGTGTTCCCCGCTTGAAGTCTAAAGCACTATATGCGAGGAAATCTGACCTGGGTGTCAGACACAGTAACTTAATAAAAGTTCAGACAGACAGAAATAGTTCTAACAGTAGGGTTGTTAAATGTGGTTTAATGAACGTCAGATCAATCTCGTCTAAATCGCTTCTCATAAACTAACTTATTATAGACAAGGGCTTGGATTTGTTTGCGCTCTCGGAGACTTGGCTCCAACAGGACGACTACGTTAGATTGAATGAGTGCACTCCTCTGACGCATGTTAACTACCAGAAAGCGAGAACTACAGGTCGCGGCGGTGGTGTTGCAATTATATCACACACCAACTTACTTCTTAGTCCCAAAACTAACAATGCTTTTCACTCGTTTGAAAACTTAACACTTTCAATCACCTGTCCTGGGTGGAGAAAACAAAAAGCGGTGCTATTTATAGTTTTATACCGACCTCCAGGTCCTTACAGCGAGTTCCTAACAGAATTCTCTGACTTCATTTCAAACCTAGTTTTGGAATGGGAAAACATAGTTATAACTGGAGACTTCAATATACATGTGGACGACAGCACTGACAGCTTAAACAAAGCTTTCAGCGCCGTACTAGATGGTGTTGGTTTTACTCAGAATGTCGAGGAACCTACTCACATTCATAACCACACCTTGGACCTTGTCCTGACCTACGGCTGTGATGTCTCCAATGTTGACATCCAGCGTCAAAGCTCGTTGCTGTCTGACCATTTCTTGATCACGTTTGATCTCGAGTTGGAGGACTTTCCTGTCCCGCAAGATAAAACCATAATGAAAAGAACCTTAAATGATAAATCTTACACAAGGTTCAAAGAACTAATACAGCCTATGTTGAATACTGCTGCAGGTGAACCTGTTCACAGCTGCTGCAGTCCCTCAGTCATTGACCAAACGGTGGACAACACTATGGAGTCTTTAAAATCTGCATTAAATGCAGCAGCTCCTTTAAAACAGAAAACTATTAGGATTAGATCATCGTCGCCCTGGTACAGTGTTCAACTCCACACTTTAAAACAGGACGTCAGAAAATTGGAAGCTATATTGCCACTCCCACTCGGAGCCTGTCCACAGGGAGTGGAAAGCAGGTCTCCGAAACTACAAGAATGCCCTTCGCAGGGCTCGAACTCAATACTATTCAACTTTAATAGAAGCGAATAAAAATAACAGTAGATTTTTGTTTAGCACCGTTGCTAAACTCACAAACTGACATAGCGCAATCGAGCCTAAAATTCCAAGCTCACTGAGCAGTGTCGACTTTCTCCACTTCTTTAATAATAAAATTACATCCATCCGTGACAAACTGGAGGAGGTTACTCCGGCTGTTGGTAGTGGACAAGCTGAAGCGGCATACGTGACTTCCCACTTAGACGCTTCAGTGGGCCTCGATAAATTCATGGCTGTGAGCCAAGCAGAGGTGATCTCTGTGGTCACATCCTCAAAAGCCTCAACTTGCATGTTAGACGCAGTCCCGACATGGCTCTTCAAAGATTGAAGAGCCATGTCTAATTGAGCCTATCGTAAATATAATAAACGCATCCATACAATGTGGCTATGTCCCACAAGCTTTTAAAACCGCGGTAATCAAACTCCTTCTGAAGAAAACAAACCTGGACCCAGAAATACTTACAAACTACAGACCGATCTCAAACCTCACTTTCATATCTAAAATCCTGGAAAAACCTATAGCTGAGCAGCTTCGCTGCCACCTGCAGGAAAATAATATGTTTGAAGTCTTTCAATCTGGATTCAGAGCTCATCATAGACTGAAACGGCACTAGTCAAAGTCACAAAAGACTTACTACTAGCTGCTGATAATGGACAAGTGTCAGTGCTGGTCCTACTGGACCTTAGTGCTGCATTTGACACAATAGACCACAGCATTCAACTGCAGAGGCTAGAATGTGATATAGGTCTTAGAGGAACAGCCCTTGGCTGGTTTAAATCGTATTTATCAGATCGGTATCACTTCGTCAACGTAAATCAGAACTCGTCGCCTTATTCTGGAGTAGAATTTGGTGTGCCGCAGGGTTCGGTACTCGGACCGATTCTTTTCACTCTCTACATGCTGCCGTTAGCAAACATTATTAAAAAGCATGGAATTAATTTCCACTGCTATGCAGATGACACACAGCTTTATCTGTCGATGAAGCCAAATCAGACAGATCAGCTAGAAAAGCTCAGTTCCTGCATAAAGGACCTTAAAATGTGGATGACTCTTAACTTCCTACTTCTCAACCCGGAGAAGACAGAAGTGATCCTACTCGGTCCGAAGCGCCTGCGTGACACCCTCACTAACCAGATAATTACTCTCAATAATGTCAGTATTATACCCAGTAACACTGTGAGGAATCTTGGAGTCATTTTTGACCAAGAACTCTCCTTCAAGGCTTATATAAGCCAAGCAACTAAAACGGCGTACTTCCACTTACGGAACATCGCTAAAATTAGAAATTTCCTTCCTAAAAGTGACGCGGAAAAACTTATTCACGCGTTTGTCACCTCAAGGCTCGACTACTGTAACGCTTTATTGGCAGCGTGCCCTAAAGCCTCTTTGAAGAGCTACCAGCTCGTTCAGAATACAGCAGCTAGGATCTTAACAGGTACCAAAAGGAGGGAGCACATAACTCCGGTGTTAAAATCACTCCACTGGCTCCCTGTGGAGTACAGAATAAAGTTTAAAATCCTTCTCTTAACATATAAAGCCATAAATGGCTTGGCTCCTTCTTATCTCCAAGACACGTTAGTGTCGTATCAACCAAGTCGAGCGTTGCGCTCACAAAACGCCAGACGTCTGGTGGTTCCTAAGGTCTCAAAAATCACTGTTGGCGGCAGAGCATTTAGCTCCAAGCTCCTTTACTGTGGAATCAGATTCCCATTTATGTTAAGGAAGCAGATACGGTCTCCACATTCAAGGCCAGGCTTAAACCACTCTACTTTAATTTAGCATATAATTAGGTAATATATAATATATGGTGTATATATCATATATATATGCTGTATTATGTTATATATATATTATACAATATATGTATTATGTTGTGTATTGTGTTATATACTATGCTGTATGTTATGTTATGTATTACATATGATATATATGGTATATATGATATATAATATATAATTAGGTTTGCCTGGATCGGTTTGCACACCTGGTGTGCAATCCATGAATCTTGGTGCTGTAACCTGGGCTAGCCTAGCCGTGGCTGCTGTTGTCTCGCCTCCTTTCAGATACGCTCTCTTTATTCAAGGCTAGGTTTAAAACAGTCCTCTTTAGTTTAGCATATGGCTAGGAAGGTAAGACTCAGGGAAGGCTAAACTCCTCAGACTGTCAGTCAAGCTGCATAGGGAGTCAGTTTGCTGGGAGAAGTATGGTAACTTGAGCACTATCCTCTCCTTCTTCCTACTTTATCTGTTTAGCATTTTTAGGATTTTGACTGTAGTTTGTTCATTGCTATTCACCCGTTGTCCCATTGTCTGTTTCATGGTACGATGACGGGATCTCTGAGCCTGGCCTCCTCCATCTACACCTGCGGACTGCCCCGCCCGACCCGCCTGGGAGTGCTTCAGTCCTGCACCGGACCTGTCCACGTTCAGCGTCCACTGGTCCACGTTCTGTAGCTAGCTTAGGTCCTGGATCATTAGCCTGTCCATCTGGAGGAGCGGATCCCTTTCTCATATGGGTCTCCCTCCCTGTGGGTTTCCCTAGTTCTCCTCCAAGGTTTCTCACTTTTTCCCACTGGGTTTTTTAAGAGTTTTTCCTTGTCGATGCAGGAGGGTCTTGTTGGACAGTTAGTGTCCAACAGAAAGGATTGGTGATGATCAGGACACTTTAGCATTCTACAACATGTATGGACATTTTCTTCTGTGTGTGCTTTATATTTTTCATGTGTTTTAACTGTTGATTCTCTGATCTGTCTTGGGCTATACAAGAATTATTGTATTGTATTGTGTATTGTAAGTTGTTTTTTTGAATCATCAAAGCCTCCAACCAACACCATCCATTCACTCGCTCAGTAAGTACTGCAAGGCGTATAGTATAGTACTTACAAAGTAGACATCCTAGTGTGGAATCTGATGAGTCACTGGGGTACCACTGAGGGTCATGACACGGAGAGGGCATCCAGCTTTGGGACGGGCTAACTGAAGGAGAGGGGGCCAGCAACTTGGATCCATCACTGCTGGTCAGTTTGGAGAGGGTCCCTTCTTCACCTGTATGTGTAAAAAAACAAAACAAAAAAAAGCGTTTTAAAAGTAAAACAAGTTGAGATTTACGTGAATTCTGTAAACATGAAAACAAAGAACCAATGCAGCTACGGTTAGTAACAGACACCTCCACACTGAAGGCCCTGATCCACTGAACCTGTGGGTGCCTCTACAGGTGCCCACACCATCAAACCAAGATCTACTTCTACAGAAACCATAGAGCTGCGTGCGATCTGCCATAGATTTACGTGGCGGTGTTAAGATTCAGAAAATCACATTTGGTGCGGTTCATGACGCAAATGTGATTCATGCGGTCTTTATTCACATTTTATTGGTAGGAAATGTACAGTATGGTCTTGTGTAGTGTTCTTCATGTTGTAAATGTACAGTATGGTCTTGTGTAGTGTTCCTCATATTGTAAATGTACAGTATGGTCTTGTGTAGTGTTCCTCATATTGTAAATGTACAGTATGGTCTTGTGTAGTGTTCCTCATGTTGTAAATGTACAGTATGGTCTTGTGTAGTGTTCCTCATATTGTAAATGTACAGTATGGTCTTGTGTAGTGTTCCTCATATTGTGAATAATACTCATAACTGCTTAGTGCTGACATGAACACCTCTGCTCTACAGGCACCAGAAAAGTGACACATTCACAAATTCACTACATTATCAAATATCCTGGAAAATAGCTATCATTTCAATGTACTAACCAAATAAATGAACTCATAACATTAAAATGCGATCATATTTTGTGACATTGATCATGATTGATAAAAATTTAATTACTCAGATTAAACTAATGAATCATTTGACAGCCCTCATACAAACACATGCAAGTAAAGCCGAATGACGCACCATAGTGAGCAGAGTTTATGGCCAACTCAATGATGGAGTCACTAATGTGCGTCTGATGTTCCCCAGACGCCATTCCCTCCTCCGGGGGACCAGGGAGAGAGATGTCCAGGAGTGAAGCAACACTGGGTGGGGATAAGATAGAGTCCCCACCACCAGCTCCAGGGGAAAGAGGAGAAGACTGCCTGTTCTGCAAAAGAAGGAATAACTCTTTCAGCCACTTTATCAAAATACCTTCTTGATGTCCTAAGCACTGTAGTAGACAAACTACCTCCATGTCCATCTGAAGTCCTGACCCAAAGGGTCTCACAGCTGATTGGCCCATGTAGAAGGACCGTGCACTGAACTGAACCAGAACTCGTTTTCATATGATCAAAAACTACCCAAAAACCTAAACCAAGCTAGCCTGGCCTTAGCCATCTGTACACTTCGCTCAATCATCATTTCACTGCATGTAACATCTGGGTCTGGTCCCTGTGTTAGCGATTACAATCGGTTGAATTTCGACCGACCATTCAGAGAGCGTGGAAGGAGAGTGTTGTAGTTAGTTGTGGGTGATGTCAAGAGTTAGCGTCGTACAGGAAGGTTGTGGTTTGGCAATGGCAAAAATTGCAATAGTAAAGTAATCCGGTCTGGTTCTATCAAGAAATTTAAGTCGAAGCAAGGGTAATGTTTAGCAAATGTAATCGCTGGAAAAATTGTGGCGCTACTCCACACGGGCTCCGTGTAAACTCCGGTAAACTCAGATCCAATCGTTTCAATCTGCAAAAGGGGCTAACCCTTCCCACCTGTAAAAGGAGCTCAATGGAGCACCTCCAGACCTTAGTACGAAATGTAATTTGTACTATGGTGTGGTACAATCAATTAATCACTTTAGCCTAGTACAACCAGGCTAAAACCAAGCCAGATTCAAGCAATAGGCCCCACATGTTTAGACGAAACCTGTGAACACCTCTGAACTGGGAATGAACGAGAACTAACTGGGAAGGCTATGCTTTTGACCCGAGTCAGACAGTACTTTGCTGAAGCCTACTATGTAATGTACAGTGCCTTGCGAAAGTATTCGGCCCCCTTGAACCTTTCAACATTTTGCCACATTTCAGGCTTCAAACATAAAGATATAAAATTTACATTTTTTGTCATGAATCAACAACAAGTGGGACACAATCGTGAAGTGGAACGAAATTAATTGGATAATTTAAACTTTTTTAACAAATAAAAAACGGAATAGTGGGGCGTGCAATATTATTCGGCCCCTTTACTTTCAGTGCAGCAAACTCACTCCAGAAGTTCAGTGAGGATGTTTGAATGATCCAATGTTGTCCTAAATGACTGATGATGATAAATAGAATGCACCTGTGTGTAATCAAGTCTCCGTATAAATGCACCTGCTCTTTGATAGTCTCAGGGTTCTGTTTAAAGCGCAGAGAGAACCATGAAGACAAAGGAACACACCAGGCAGGTCCGAGATACTGTTGTGGAGAAGTTTAAAGCCGGATTTGGATACAAAAAGATTTCCCAAGCTTTAAACATCTCAAGGAGCACTGTGCAAGCAATTATATTGAAATGGAAGGAGTATCAGACCACTGCAAATCTACCAAGACCCGGCTGTCCCTCCAAACTTTCATCTCAAACAAGGAGATGACTGATCAGAGATGCAGTCAAGAGGCCCATGATCGCTCTGGATGAACTGTAGATAAATACAGCTGAGGTAGGAATCGTGTGTTCAGGGTGATGAGCTGTGTTGCTTTTACGCCAAACATATCGTTTTGCATTGTGGCCAAAAAGTTTGATTTTGGTTTCATCTGACCAGAGCACCTTCTTCCACATGTTTGATGTGTCTCCCACGTGGCTTGTGGCAAACTTTAAACGAGACTTTGTATGGATATCTTTGAGAAATGGCTTTCTTCTTGCCACTCTTCCATAAAGGCCAGATTTGTGCAGTGCACGACTGATTGTTGTCCTATGGACAGACTCTCCCACCTCAGCTGTAGTTATCTGCAGTTCATCCAGAGTGATCATGGGCCTCTTGGCTGCATCTCTGATCAGTCTTTTCCTTGTTTGAGATGAAAGTTTGGAGGGACGGCCGGGTCTTGGTAGATTTGCAGTGGTCTGATACTCCTTCCATTTCAATATAATTGCTTGCACAGTGCTCCTTGAGATGTTTAAAGCTTGGGAAATCTTTTTGTATCCAAATCCGGCTTTAAACTTCTCCACAACAGTATCTCGGACCTGCCTGGTGTGTTCCTTTGTCTTCATGGTTCTCTCTGCGCTTTAAACAGAACCCTGAGACTATCAAAGAGCAGGTGCATTTATACGGAGACTTGATTACACACAGGTGCATTCTATTTATCATCATCAGTCATTTAGGACAACATTGGATCATTCAAAGATCCTCACTGAACTTCTGGACTGAGTTTGCTGCACTGAAAGTAAAGGGGCCGAATAATATTGCACGCCCCACTTTTCAGTTTTTTTTTGTTGATTCATGACAAAAAATGTAAATGTTATATCTTTATGTTTGAAGCCTGAAATGTGGCAAAATGTAGAAAGGTTGAAGGGGGCTGATTACTTTCGCAAGGCACTGTATATGTGCATCTAATGTTTTTTTTTCTCATCCTTGTCTTAATATTTTTTTTAATTTTATGATTCTTTAAATAATAGTAGTAATGTAAGTATGGCTGGGGGATGCCCAGCTATACTTACATTACTACTGTTATCCCACAGACGGGAGATATAAATCAGCCTGGACTAGAGGCCTAATATACTCTAATCGGTTATCTATGGGTACAACAATTGTACTCGTCAAATAAATAAAATCAAGATGAGCGATACCAATATTGTTACTTAACATACTGGATTTGCTTTGTCCATTTGTACAACATTTTGGTTGGTGGGGTGCCTTGTTGAAAAAGGCAGAAAAACAATGCTATGGAATATTATGATGCAAAAATGCATCCACCATTGGCTTTTAGAGGATTTCTGCACATTGGATCTTAGCTTGCAGCTCTCTCTCAGTGAGTGGGAGCGCACAGATCAACCAGGCGTGTAGTACCGAGTACAGTAATTAGATGAGCCAAGATTAGTCACATAAAGTTCTGCTTTAATCTTTCTTTATGGGAAGATAATAGAAGGAAAAGATAAAACAAGAGACTGCTAACCTCTGGAGCGTGGTCCTGAAGAAGCAGCGAGTCTGCTGGAGCTTCTGTGACGGGGGCAGCGCTCAGCAGAGGACTGGTCTCTACAGGGGGAGAACTCAACTCTGGACACGAATCAGGAATTATGCCAGCAGATTTGGCTGCAAAGTCTATCGCACCTGTAGCCAACAAGTCCCACAATTATATCAAAGGCGTCACCGTATATTGAATGAATGTAGTAAGTATTGAATTTCTTACTTGAAAGTGTAGCACTGGGGGCAGCAGAGAATCTAGACACAATGGGCCTTGGTGCAGGAGTAAGTCGTGTCTGGATTGGACGGAATGAACCAGTTCCTGTGAAGAGAGCATGTAAACATCAGATTTGGTTACATAACCAAATTGGTTTTTCCAGTGCTGTCTGAACATGGGAAAAAGTTAAAACAGAACAATTAGGGAATAAGTGATTAATCGGTACACTGATTAATTTAGCTGATTCTGCAGTCTTACATTGGTCAAGATCTAAAAAAAAATGTATTGGCAAATCGTGAATTAGCAGTGCAGAATCTGAACAAATCTGCACCTGTATAAAAAGTGGTGCAGCCGTACCTGTGGCAGAGGAGTTTGAAAGAATTGAAAATGAGCACACATGTTGTGAGGCGTCTCCTGTTGTTCGGGGCAGAAGCGTTCTCTGTGGACACGCACAACACAAGCTTATGTAATGTGACATCTTCCCCAAGTCCCAGTACACCAGAACTCCTACAGTTTATCCAAATTGTTCTCATTACCTGGACCACAAGTGGCTTACGAAGCTGTCTGTTTCGAGGTTTTCTCTGTCTTGAGAAGAGATCGGACTGCATCTGTATTCGAATATAACAAACTTGGTTCTAAATCTTGTTGATTACAATTTCAATTATGATATATTCTATTCTTACACTAATGGAGTCAAGCTGTTGCTTTAGGGCCAGCTCTGCCTCTTTGTTAGGGGAAAACATCCTGTTGTGGCGACTGCTGTTGGGAGGGAGTGTGGTTGGCACTGCAAACACTGCCCCTTCAGACTCAGACCCCAGCAGAGGGCGCAACTGGCTGCGGCCACCTAGAATGCACAAAACCATTTTAAAAGGATAATTTTTCTACAAATGTTTTGGCTGTTTTCCGCATCAATACACACCTGCATTAGGGTGCAGCAGCCGGCCACCCCGGGCAATCTGCTGGCGGCTATAGCCAGGGCTTCGTATGCCCGCTAAGGTTGTTTTTCCTGGGGGAGTGACAGCTTGGTGTTCCTCTGCTGTGGTCTTCAGAGGTGATGTTGCAATGGAGCACATATCTGGAACCTGGAGTACATCAACAATACACAGCCTGTAAGATCACTGAATTTAATGAGATCAATTACCACCTCGTATCTTCTTACCAGTGGTTTAGGATTGGCCTCTGAGGACACCAGCTTGAGCAAACAGCGCAGCACACTGTTCATCCTTGTGGGTTTGACCGGTTCTTGTCCGTTCCCTGACTGGTCAGGAGCTGAGATAGGCTGCCAGTCGTATTCCAGCTGAAGCTTCCCTGGTTTTCCAAACATGAGGTAAAGCTCAGCCAGAGTGACACTGTCGGGATCTCTGGCACTCCAGCCTTCCTCTCGGAGTTGCTCCACTGTTCTCTCTTTAGCAGATACCTCAGATAACGTGGGCTTTGCAGGAGGAGTCCGGTTGGTTTCTGGAGAGGACATTATGGCACCTTGTTCCTCTCTGCACTCCTCGGAGGGCTGAATGTTAGTACCCAACTTATCACACAAGTCTAGTATGCTGCCGTTTGTGTATATGCTCATGGGTTTCTCCTTTTCCCCTTCAGGTTTCTGTACCTCCTCCTGGAGCTGAGGAGTTACAGATGGAGTCTTTTGGGCTTTCTTCTCCTCAGGCTTGGCAGAATCACATGCTGGCTCAACACTGTACAATTCTGTCTGTTTGGTTTCTACTGGTACAGACCCTGAAGCCATAATTCCAGCAGTGCTAACACCTTTACCCAATTTTGAACCAGAGCGCGATGAGCTGTGAATGCCCAATATTTGAGCAGCAGGAAGATCCTTATTATTGGGACGATTCTTGCCACTTTCCAGCCAGTGCACGGTGCAGAAGGCTTTGGAGTGTGCCACACGTGCTACCCCTGGCAGTGTGGTCAGCGTGCTGCTCTCTGCGGGGTACAGCACCAGCTCGTCCTGCAGGGATCTGCTGGAAGACGCTGAGGACTGGCCTCCTTCAAGAGCTTCCCTTTCCATGAGACTCTTAAGCTGGATTTCATTTCATCAAGGATAAAAGTAGGCATAATGTCAGTGCAGCAAGGGAAAAGTAGAGCGTAGTGCAGGAAAATAAGTTACATTTGATATATTGTGAAGTATGTAACAGAGGTCAAACAGTGCTTTACAATTTGAAAAAGATACAATCCATTGGTCCTGGTATGTCCACTTCTGCTTCAAATATTCAATGAGGCTGGAGACTTTTCGATGCAACTCCACAATCATTCTGCAAAGAGAGACACATTCGAACAGTGTAATTATGCCAAAATCCTCTTCTGTACAGTCTGAGTGTTCATGGATGGCTGACCTGAGCCGAGGGTTGTGTGCCAGGTTCTGAACACGTGCCCAGGAGTAGGAACTGCGGGGCTGCAGCTCTACTGCCATCTTCAGGGGGAGACGTACTGGCTTTTGATCTTCTTCATCACTTACACCTGAACACACACATCAGCTTGGTTTTTGCAATGTTGAAGTAAGTAACATTGATCAAGATTCTGAGATGGATCATTTGTGGCGCAGTGGCATGGCCTACAAAACATATTTGTTGTTATTTTGATGCATGTAAAAATGCAGGAGTAAATAAATGTACATCCAAAATCACATTTTAGTTCATTGCCTAACATTTAAGGAAGTTATTTTTCTAATTAATTAGAATCTTAATAAAGGGATGAGAATGAATGAATGAATGAGGAATCTTACCTTCAGGGTCACAAAGTTTTTTCAGGGCTCGACACATAGGTGCTTTTATTCTCAAATTTCTTCCCTTGGAGCGCACAGTTGTGGCCCTATAAAATAAAAAGGAAAAATAAGTATTTGCATGCAAAAATGTAATTCAATGTAACTGTGGTTTGACATACCCTTGCTGAATGAGTTCATTGAGTTTTGCCACATTCTTATCATCCATCACTAACAAATACAACACAAGTCTTGTGATTATTTATATCCTACAACAAAAACAATACAAGACAATAACATCTCTACTTACTCCCACCAACTTTCTTGCGCAGCTCAGCATAACAGATAAGACCATAGAGTTCTTGAGAGGATTTTTTCAACGTCCGGGAGTACACTATGGAGTAAAAACATATTGTAGTGACCAGCAAGCAGTATGCAACTTTGAGATAACGTGACAGCCTCTTTAAGCGAGGGGATATTTTCTCTATCTCTTGTGCTTTATCTTTAACACAGACCACAGACAATTCGCACAGGAATGAAAATGTAAACAAAAAAAGGGCTTACCATTGACAAAATCGATGTGTTTGGAGATCTTGTGCCAGGTGCGGTAGTAAAAGTGGCGAACCTGCTCCTTGTTCTTAACCATATTTGCTGGTTTGCCACGCTTCTTGTATTTTATAGCAATATTGTTCTGGATTGCCTCAAAGTCTTTCCCATACTGAAAAAATAAACAATGCGATATGTAGATGAACTCTCATATATTTAGGATATATTATGAATGCTCTTCCCAATACCTCGTAGAGTCCCTCAAAGAAACTGTTTTTGTCCTCTGCGCTCCACGACTCCCACTGGCGACGGGCACGTTTCTGGTTCCCGGTCTGCTCATCCTTTTCCACAGAGGCCTGAGCCTTGGACGCCCTGGATGCTCCTGTAGAACTGGCCACAGCTCCTGACTGTCCAACTGCAACAGGGGTAGAGCCATTCTCTGTACCTGGGGAAAAAAGGTATGGAATATATAAATAATAATATATATTTTGAAACTCAATAGAACATTCCTACATAGCACAAAGCTGGAGATCAGAAGACTGGCAGTGGTCCCCTTATAGGCTGTTAATCAATGATAATAATTGATACAATATTAATACAATAGGAACGTTGCTATACAGACATGAAGGGAGAAATCCAAATAAATTCAGGTGCATGTAAATAACATGAGAAAGTTGTTGTTGAAAGTTTGAGTGGGTGAGGGCCAAGCGATTGGGGCTGCAGCGGCCCTGAGGGAGCAAACATACACTCCCACAGAGAGCATCACCCTCACCGGAATAATATTTTATTTAGTTTTTAATACTTCTGACTTATTCTCCGTCAAATCCACACCCATGATCACCTCTGGGCACGGGTCACCTACATTACCTTTTGCTTTTGCCCCGCCATGTCCATTGATGGTCGAGCCAACTGAATCCTTCCGTATGCGCTTGCTTGGAGGTCGGACGCTTGAACGTAGAAAATGATGTTGGTCTGGGAGGGTCTGCGTGGACTCGGCTGGGGCGTGTAGCTGCTGGGTCGAGTTGTGACCGGTTCGGCTGGGTGAGGAAGCAGGATGGACAGTAGCAGTACCCGGGTTCAGAGCAGTTGTAGATGGATTAAGACTTTCCACTCCGTCTCCCTTTGTACTGTGCTCTTCGCTCGCCTGCTCTGCGCTCTCCTCCTCGTCGCAACCTTCGGGCTTTTTAGACGGATTCCTGTCCCCATCGACACCGATGCCCTCCCGAGAGCCCGTAGTCATGCTGCCAAAATACATTTACACACAAATTGTCACGTTGTGAGCAAAGCAATTGCCAGAATTAACTTCTAAGGACAGCGCTCGCTGTGTCTCAACATGGCCGCCGCTGTTTGTTTCAAATCCCCTCTCTGGTCCCGACAAAACAACACTAAAAATATGTATTTAACGTGTCCAAATAAATCATTTTAACCTGCAAAGACACTTGACTAACTAACGGATGTGTGCGCCCATGTGTTCCTAAAGAAAACAGAGGAGATATGAGAGCGGATTTGGAGTAAATTCAAATGCGAACACTTTTCAGTGGAGCGCCCTGCAGAAACGACAACGACTACCACTCGATCATTTCGACCTCTAAATAAAGTATTTCATTCAATGACAAATTTACCCAAATTCATGCTCATCTGTAATAGACGACGTTTTCTTTCTCTTCACCATGGATCCGACTGGTTTGATGGGCAAATAGTGAGCAAATTAAGCATAATAAAACCCTGGGCAATATCTCCGCTTTCAACCCTCTCCTTGTTCCAGACTCGACTGAGCTCAACTCTGCGCAGTTCAACAGTTTTTTATCACCAACAACATTTCTCAATAGCTCTTTTCAACGTTGATTTAAAGAAAATAAAACACATTCATGCATGACTATATATCCCCACAATGCAGTACTTTATGTTTGTGCACACATGTGCTTGGCTGCTATTAATAGATGAGCAGAGACTTTTATTTAACTGGTCTTTTCTTGCCTCAGTGTTGTGTTGTCCACTCTGTCCACAAACCCTTCCATCCATCCATCCATTACAATTAAATCTGCTCAATTATGACCACCTATTGTAACACCATCTTCACAGTATTTATGCCTGTATAGAACTACAAACATATTTACGACATATCTTCATAAAATCCTTTATGAATATCTTGAAAGCAATGAGTCTATACATCAGTCCATCAGAAATGTTTTCAATGACAGTTCAAAGAACGCACACAGAATTCACACACACATAAAATCACAACAACTATATTACTTGTTTTCAAAGTGCCAAGATTTTCCTACAGAATCATTGACAAAGCATTCCAAGCTAGTTAGAACACAATATTCTGGTATTAGGAGTATTATTTCACCTCGACAAAGAAACTTTCATATAAGTGGTACATTGTTTTCAATGTACCGTAAGACTACCGCATTATAAGTGTGACTATCACACTTATAATATGCATATGGGACTTTGTTTTTCTGCACCATAGGACTGCAGTCCAGTTCCAGGCCATAGCTCGAGTGTAGTTTCATCTAGTATTAGCATAGCCGTGCAGTTGTTTTGTTGATGTATTAACTAGCGTTTCAAAGGAAGACAAAAACACTACATTGACGAAGTTTAACATTCATATTGCCATCAAATATATGTAGATTGTGCAATTACCTGCAGTAAAATGGTAAATCCACACGAAACCCACACTAGCATGGCGCTGTGACAGTAGCTTTCGGCTCGGGCACTGACAGTTCCTGCTGAGGCTCCACGCGCTTTGGCCACGACTCCTACAACTTAAAAACAAACTCTGCCATTGGCTCAGACACAAAGAAGGCGGGACTAATATACGTGATTGATAGACTGTAACACAAATAATGATCCGCTATTCATTTCAAAAGACCAATCGTTTCGTCAATTCTTTTAAAGAGATAACCCACTCGTTATAGATAGAGCGTTGTTCATTGAAGGATGTCAGTATTTAAAATCTTAACCTATAATGTTGTTAAAGAATAAAATAAATAAATGCCTTGCAAAGTAAAGGCCAGAACAAAATACGAGCTAAACAGTGTTTTCATGATACTTATTTACATGTTGTTGTTGTGTACTTTTTTATTACACGGCTCTTTAAGAATATGCACATACACAACCATGTTCATTGTTTCAAGCAGTTTTAAGCCCAGGACCGTTGTGTGCTTGTTGTTGTTTGCTGCCGGGCGCCCACAGAGCACAGATCGAGCGCACCTTTCGGTGATTGGCGGAGCTAGAGATATATTCCTCTGTGACCACGGGGCGGACATTCCTCAAACTGCTGATCTGTCGGACACACACTGGAGGAGCTGGTGTTTAGCTGACAGGAGTTCGTGGAAACTCTCCATAAGAAGCCAAGATGACTTCGACAAATATGTTCCAGGGGCTGGGCAGCAGTACAAAGCCGAGCTCGAGGTAAATGGTTTATGTTCTATGTCGTGGCTTTGTAAAACTGATGTCGGGCTAACGGGAGTCTGCAATGTAACAGTTTGTTCCTAAACTGACGAAAGTGTCCATCATTGGTGTTATTTCGGTAAAACGGGGGTTTTCCCACTGACAGTTGCTACTTTTACACCAAATGCATATTACTAGCTCAGGCTAACGTCATCGTAAGTCCTTTAGTTACGTGTTAGCTTTAGCTAAGTCGCTAACTGAGCAGGCGTTGTCTGTTGCGGAAGTGATAACGCTTCAGAACTATTTTAATGTAAGCGCCCTATTCGTCACCGAGAATATGCATAGCTCCGCTAAAATATTGTCTTCCACAAAGTGAAATAAGCCAAACACGTGCACCTTGCAACTGAACGTTACACGTTACGTTGGTGCGCTTTTCTCTTTTTTTAAAATCTGTTGCCAATTAGCATTTTAGCAAGAGACGTTGTGACGTGTGGCGCTTCTGCGTGGCCTCTTCTGTGACCTGCTGTTCTCTGTTCGCCAAAAGCTGAACTGGACTGTTTGAGTCTGCTTATGAATGCACTGTACTATGAATTGGTGCATGTATAAATTTATTATGGCTTGATGTTGTTATATGACAAAATTGGGGTTTTCACTTTACAGGGTTTTGCGGCCTCCTGGAGGTGGGTCCAGTAATCTTTTTGGTGGGTATGAAGAGGATGCTTCAACTCAAAGAAGGCCCAATAAGATGGCTTCTTCAGTGTTTGCACCTGCGGAAGAACCTCAACATACTACCAGACGCTCAAATCCTCCAGGTGATCCTTGATTCTAATAATTCACTACATTACATAAACTACAATTTGCATGATCTTGTTAATCATTTCATAGGTGGAAAGTCTAGTAATATATTTGGACAACCTGACCCTCCAGCACAACCCCAAAAGACCATACCTCCAGGTGCACCCACAAGTGGCAACTTTTTTGGGGAGACAGACACTCAATCAGCCCAAAGCCTTAGTCGGAGCCACCCCAATAAGCCAAAGGTATGCTGAGAAACCTGCCTGGATAAAGACACACTTCTCTTGTGTCAAAGGGTGAAATGTATATTTGGCATTAGTCCTTTCTTTGTGAAATGTCTATTGCAACTTGGTCACACCTTCTCAATATCCATTTCCAGGACAATCTAAAACTTGGACCGGAGTCACCTGGTGAGTTAATATGTATCTGCATTTTAGTTTTGCACTGGTGTTTACTTGTATTTTACAAACACTTTAATCTTCCAAAGCACCTGAGCCTGTAGTGCTCCAGGCCGAGGCAAAGGCAGAATCGCCACCACCAGAGCCAGCCAAAGAGGAGCTGCCTGTCTCATCTGTGCTCGAGCCAAAGACTCCTGTTCTGACAGAGAGTGACGACTCGAAGAACCACGAGCCCCATCTTGGCCCCAAACCTCGTTCTCATAACCGGGTCCTCAATCCCCCGGGAGGAAAGTCCAGTGTTGTTTTCTATTGATTGCCTCTGAATTCACTGCTCCTGATTTGTAACATTCTTTCATTCCAACCCCCTTTGGTTCTCATCATATCACAGGAGTTTAAACTTTGCCTCAACCACTCGCTTAAGTGTCTCTCTTACGACCCTTATTTCTTCAGTTTCCAACAGCCTTCCACCCATTGTTGATGTGGCCTTTAACTGGATTGCTGTACATCTGTTGTGATTAGTTGAATCATATCAAATTGTTAAGATGCCTTTTTAAAAACAAAAAATGTTTGCCTTAATATTTCTTGATCTTAAATCCGATCTCTCATGAGGTTAGATCTCTCATGAGGTAGGCCTTTTGTTTATGTTTTAAATTAAAACGACTGAAGAGGTGGTCACTGCTTTGACTGCCTGACATCCAATGGACTCTATTCATCACATCATACTGTTTTACACAAGGGGTTTTGTGGCGCTACTTTTGCCCAGTAATGTCTGGTCAGCAATGAACTCTGCAAAAAGTAACCTTGTGAATTGCAATAAAGTTGTTCTGAATTTTGAAATTTGCTTTGTCAATTTTCCTCAATAGTCATTTTCCTACAATGAATAGACTAATCCTGTGTTGCACTGCCACCTACTGAGCAGATTTAGGAAAAATGCTACGTAGTCTGATCAGTCATCTCAAGTTTTAAGGGGAACGCTTGGAATCGTGCACTGGTTTCCTCCTAACCCTGTGTTAATTTGTTACGGTCAGTCTACCTGTTAATTGTTAACTCCATCTGTAGTGACCTTTATAGCTCTTGCATATTTATTGGTGCCTTTAACTGTGCATATATATATTTCCAATGTCAAATGGCCTCTACACGAAACTGACACTTTTCTGTAGCTTTTATTACATTTGTCAATTCGACACTGACAGAATCCAGCAAATTGAAAAAAAAACAAACAAACCCAGAACTCAATTCAATGCACATCAAAATTGGAAGGTATTTTTGCCTAAATTGGCAGGCGGCGACGGGCATATCTGTGGATGTAACCCGTAATTCGAATTACAATAAGTCAGTTTCGTCTTTGGTTATTTTAATAGGAATTATATTAGTAGCACTTCCTATTTGAGCGTCCCATTGACGCATTGACGCGATGACGTCAGTGAGTGGGTCAGCAGGCTCGGGCTCCATCTGAAGCGGAGGACCGTCTATGGGTGAGCCTCTCCCTCAACATCCACCCTGCCCTGTCCTGGCCCGGGCCCGCGGCAAGGGAGAAGGAAACATGTACCGAGCGACGCGACAGGAGCTGCTTTAGTGAGAGACAATATTATCTATTTATTTATCTATTTATTTTATTATTTATTCCCCCGCCTGTAATGGCTGGGGTCCATGGCTGCAGCTGAGGGGCAGGTGCACTATCCACGGTTCCGGGACTATGGACTCATGCTGCGGGAATAACAGCTTGCGCTTTCAGACACGCCTCGGCACTGGGTCCATCTCTGCTCCCGCTATAGCCTGTCACTGCTGAATATGACTTAAACGGCCTGTCCACCCGCGGAACACCCCACATCCACAGCCCGTGTCATCCACCGCTTTAGGCCCAAACAGACTCCTCCGCGAACCTCCGTGTCAGCCGCCACCATGATGGACCTTCAGCTGGACGAGGTGGTCTACCAGGACGACTACGGATCGGGCACCGTGATGTCCGAACGCGTGTCGGGCCTGGCGAGCACCATCTACCGAGAGTTCGAGCGCCTCATCCGAAGCTATGACGAGGAGGTGGTGAAGGAGCTGATGCCGCTGGTGGTCAACGTGTTGGAGAACCTGGACGCGGTGCTCACGGAGAACCAGGAGCATCTTGTGGAGCTGGAGCTGCTGAAGGAGGACAATGAGCAGCTCATCACGCAGTACGAGCGGGAGAAGGCGCTGAGGAAGCAGGCGGAGGAGGTGAGGGGGACCGGGGGTATAAAGGCTAGGCCTTGGCTCGCATCAGCAGCCTGCATCCAGCTGTTCTGACACACAGAATACAGTAGGCATCACATGGGAGCAATGCACATGACTGGTCTTTGGTGTAACATTGATTTGTACAGGCCTATTTACAAGTGTACTGTGTAGATTTTATGGTTTTGTCCATCTTCATATGTTATAGTGTTGTCAGGAATGTGTCATTCATTTATTTCCATGGGGTTTGTCAACAAGAAGAGAAGCATTGTATTATCATTGTTATTGACAAAAGGCTTTCAAATTAGGAATTTGGTCTGCTATTATGGTACAATCATAAACAATTATGTTATATCAATAATGTTGGATTATATAGCAGCCTCTAGGGGTAGACTGGGGTTGGCTTATATTCTTCCAAATGTCTCAAAAAATCTATATTTGTGAGTATGAATAAACTCTAGGTTCTGTATATTGCTCTGTAATAATAAGTTATTGCTCTCTAACTTACAACGTCCAATGTGTGTCAAACTACCACAGGCTGTCACACCATGAACCAGATGTTGTCAACGTGAAAGTGAGATTGATACGTTTTATCAAACAGTCACAGGCAAAACAATAATATCCATGGAGAATGGAATGTTTTGGACTCACCAAACATTCCACTCCACCTTTACAGACACTGTAGTTGCACAGTAATGCGCTCTATATGTTAATTATCATGTATTCATGTTTAGTTAACCTAAACATATTTGCACCTAAATATCTATTTCATTATTCTTCTCAACACACACCCACACAATCAATTTCACTCAATTCCCTAAAAGGGTCAGTTTACTCAATTGTGTCCAAAGAAAACAGAAAATAATCAATAAACAACAATAAAGGTTGGTATGCACATTGCACAGGCATGTAGTGTCAAAATAATAGAATATTTAAAGTAGTAGTAGTGCAAAAAGTCTGACATGTAAGTTGTCAAAGTCTCATACTATTTTTACCATACTTTTTCCAAAACTTAAAATAGAGAGAGAGGTTATCTCATACTTATCCCTGTTTATTTTGTGTGCTCCTTGTGTGCTCTTACTACTGTCCTGCATGCACAAGGCAACACCAACATTTCCCACTTATATCTGTGATTGCAAGTGCTGATGGTCATATGTAACTAGAATGCTTGCAAGTGCGCCATAGTTGTTAAGCAATATTCTCATATTTACGATATAACACTATCGAATGTATGCATTATTAAGCACAAGTGCGCCCACAGTAGTCTATGTGTTAAGCCAGAGTCGTTCAATTCACCTGCACCTCCATTATCACTGATATGCTGTCCTGGACATGAAATTCCCACTGAAAGATCACTATGCTACACTCAGAGCAGCCTCCTGGATCCACTGCAAGGTCATGAGGGGCAAGAACTTGATCACCACCCTGACAAATGATTAAAGGTAGAAAGATGATGGATGCAATCATTATTTTCTCTATTATGCTTAAGCGTAATATTTTTCTGGTTGAATCTCAAGAGTCTACAAATGTCTCAAGAGAATCAAGTTTGTCAAGTTTTAGAATAAATATAAAACGTGTTCTTCAAGCAAACATTGAGAAAAATACTGCTCAAGCTATATTCTTATGATGAAGAAAATGACTACTGCCAATTGTGAATGGAATTAACACTTTTCTGGGATAAAGCAGGTCTGGTCTTATCAAGTAAAAACACAATTGTTGAATTTTTTTTTGTTTTGTTTACAATGGCATTTAGGGATATAACATTTTGAAGAGATAAGAGGCTGTGGAAGAATCTCATCATTATGACAAAGCCTGGCCTATAAAACCTGAAATATGCTGTATTCTAGTCCTGTTCTAAAGTAAAGTGTTTTTTATTCTAATGGGCACATTTTACTGTTATTTCATAACAGTATAATGAGACCAAGCCAAGCAACATTATGTGTTTGGGCCTGTGTTTTGTCTTCTCTCATACTGTCAGCGTTAGTGAATTGTATTACTGTTAAATATTATCTAGTATAAATATTATTTTGAGTCTTGAAAGGTGCTGTATAGTATTGCTCTTGTCTTGTTCTTGTAATGTGTTGTGTGTTTTGTGTTTGAATGGGTGATACAGGGGTTCATCCAATCCCTTTTTTCACCATGTACACAACTTTTTCTGTGGGCATTTGCAAACGGGAGATGTGCAGGCTTGAAATGCAGCATCAACTAATTAGCAACAAACAAAAAAACAGTCATAGCTAGTTTTATATGAGAAAAGGCGGGGGACGGGAATCAAAGCAAATCAATAGTACGGTCAAAATCCATAACCCAATTATTTAGTATGAGACGAGAAGCAGATGGGCAGATTCAGTGTAAGTGCATCAGAGTGACAGAGGGCTGGGGTTGTACAAAGGCCCAGTGAGAGAATCAGCATCTGAAGCAAACAATCACACACCCACCTCTAAGCGACAAGAGAGAGACCGGCTCACGTTACAAGGTTATTAGACCCCAGCTAATGGCGCGCACAGAAAAGACTCCCTGTCACATTGTGTTCGAGAGGGTTGGTGTTGAACGGTGAAATGTTTGTTAAAATTTCCCAAAATGAATACTGTTTTTGCCGGACTATAAGCCTCTACTTTCTTTAAACCCTGCAGCCTATAGGTAATACATAGGTAAAGAAATGCACAAAATACACTTGTGATAAGGGATTGTGTCAGAAGATAGTCTATGGGCTTATTACTCTGACTCCTTCCATGTAAGAGCTGTATGGCACACGTTTATTGTCAAAATAGATTGGTAAATGAGTTCTGACATGGAAGCTAAAAGTTTAAGTTTAATTTATTAAGGACATTTGCATTAAAAAGATGGCTGCACCAGATTTAGCCCCATGCTTCTTTCCATCTGTAGTCCTTGACAATATAATCATATAACTTGCATTTTAACATACAATTCAAATAAAAAGTGCAAATTACTAAATACATGTTAAAGTACAGTTCAATAAAAAGTGCAAGTTATCAACATATGTTTTAAAATACAGTCCAATAAGGTGCAATCCGAGTTACAGTTAATGTTTGCCTCCTAAGTGTTTTTTGTGTTATTTACAAAGCTCAAGTCAGCTATGTGTTAAAACCTTTTGCTCCCCAGTGTTCCCCAACCTTTTTGAGCCGTGACGCACCTTTGTCATTGCAAAATATACCATGGCACACCACCAGCTGAAACTGATACAACATTGAAACTTTAAAGCCTTTATTATTAACAAATCAAAGTCATTCTCATCGATGTGTGTTTTATAGCAAATCAAAGAAGCACCAATGTTTCTTATCCTCTCACATTATTTTATTTTTATATGATTTTGACCAAGCAGGTGATATGGGATAATTTCCATGGCACACTAATAAAAATCTCAAGGCACACTATTGTCTATTATCTTAAATAATAGACTCAATTTGATGTGTGCAATCTGAGTGCTCTTATTTCCTTCTTTCTCTGCTGTAATGTGCGCAACGATGACTCCACTGTGAGACGAATAAAGATTTATATTATCTTATCTTATCTTAAACCTAGATGCCACGGCACACTGGTTGAAAAACACTGCCTTATTTCATTATATCATGACCAGTTAGTATAGTCATCAAGATAAGATACGATAAGATAAGATATACTTTATTGATCTCACAAAGGAGAAATTTACACTTGTTGTTTTGCTCTATTAGCTGTATTGAATTACAACATTAAACCCGGCGGCTTACAGTGTGGCCTATATGCGGACAGAATGTACTGTCGTGTAATTTAGCTAATGTTATATACAGGTATATAACATTACCAGTCCAGCAAGTACTGTACATGGGATAGGCTCTAATCTGTTCTTGTGCAGTAAATAAAATAATATATAAACCAACCTCTTGGAGAGGCCAAAATTAAGTATTTTAGTGTGTCCGCTTGCATTCTATAATTCTATAATGAGGAATTCAACTTTACAGAAAGCTTTTACACAACATGCTTGGTCTGATTTCCAGCGTGTGAAAATGGATCTAAAAAGTTCAGAGCAAAAGGAGACTCAACTGTTCATCCAGATTATCCCTGTGTTGACTTAAGGTGGAACCACAAGATCCTCTTGAAAAATTATCTTGTTAAATATTTTGTCTTTTGATCATTGGCATATTTGAACTGTTGCAGATATCCATTTTATATCCTGCTCTGTAATATCACATTTGTTACGTGTTTTTTCTCTGTGGATTTCATAGATTCTCACACGTTTCACGCGTTGCAAAAACCAGACGGCAGATTTAGCAGCGTTGACAGTTTCTTTTGACTTTGTGGCTCATTCCTGATTATCAGCTTTAGATAAGTGTTAATAGAAATACTACATCACTACGCAAATCATAAGAATATAATGTTTTATTTCATATCAAGTACAATTTAATAAGTTCCATAGATATAAAGCTGAAAGAGTAATGACTGTAATGATTCATTTTGACTTAAATGTTAACATCATAGATAACTGTCAAATGTATTTTTTATTTTTTTGTTGAAAGATGCGCTGGGAAACGGCTGAGAGTCATAAGTAGCTCTGAAACAGTTGTTGTTTTGTGCCTTTTTCTGCCTGAGATGTTGCTGCAGTTCAGTGGTCCAGACCGTAGCGGAGAGGATTCATCGTCTGAGTCAATCACCGCATCAGCCGAAAATCTGACTTTTTGAAAAATGCTAATGAAGCATTTAGCATTTAGCATTTTACTTTGGACTAGAGCAGAGAAAAGGGTCAGAACCAATCGGCTACTCCACCTTTTGACCTCTGCTGCTGTGACCTGTCCTGCTCCACCCAGAGGCTACTCCACCTCTGCTGCTGTGACCTGAAGGGCTGTTGCTGATTATTACTATTGTTATCTTTTTAGAATGATCAATTTTAATTTTAGTTTTTGCTGCTACTGGACACCTGAATTTCTCCTACAGGGATCAATAAAGTATCTATCTATCTATCTATCTACATCAGTCGTCAGCAAACACTAACTCTAGAAATATAAGTGAAACCATCTGTGACTAAATATGTCTTCAAAACTAGAATTACTTTTAAACCTGGACTAGATATCTGTCACAAG